ACAAGTATTTATAGAACTACTACATGCCAGGTGTTCTTGTAGGCACTGGGGTACCACTTTCAGTAAAGTAGTCAAAACCTCTGCCCTATTAGAGTCATTTTATAAACAAATAGTAGAATGTATACAGTGACTGAAGTTAAAGTGATACATTCCAAACTGCATAGGAATAATCTTTTTTCCTAACCTGGAAACAATTTTTATTGATGCATCCCTAGATTATGTTAGTTTAACCAAGCAGAATCTCGTGGGCTACCTTACTTTCAGTACTACTATGATAAATGAGGTTAGATTCCAGGTTAGATTCTTAGCTCAAACTTTTGTGAAATTCTGATATTTCTCAGGAAATGATCTAGTCTTGAATATGATTCCATACTCTAGGTTGAGATTAGAAGATTTTAGAATCTGGTTTCTTATGGTAAAATGAAATTAAAATTTGAAATGTACTAAAGGTGGAATATTGTTAACTTTTTAAAGATATCAATTATTGTTTCTCATATCCATTCAACATTAGCTGAGCCTCTGCTACACATCAGGCACTGGGATAGGTGTTAGAAGTGGTATAGGGAAATGTGTTGCATCCTCTATAAGTTGTAACAACTTTGGGGAATAGTTAGGTAATAATGTTAAAACTTAAATGGCAAGTACCCTTTAACCTAGCAATTCCATTTCTAGGTCTCTATCTTAAAGACATAGTCACATCTATACAAAATGATTTCAATAATGTTCAGCCTGTCTGTAATACTGAAAAATCAGAAACAACCTAAATGGCCTTCGATAGGGAAATGTTTAAACTGTACATCCACACTTTTGGGATACTGTGTAGCAGTTCAAAAGAACATCGAAAAACCTTCCAGGTATTTTCAAGTTTTTAAAACAGAGGTATTTTCCTGTTATGTAAATACAGAAAGACTATATTGCCATTGACACATTTATATGTTTGTATATAAACTTATTTCTAAAGATCTGGAAGAATAATAGCAGACTGATAGCTCGATTCCTCTGAGAGGAGAGGCTGAAAGGAAAGTTAAAGGAAGACAAGTACTGTTCATTTTAATGACTTTGTGAACACATTTATGTAATTTTAAGGGGATTATTAATAACAGAGAGGTCAGGTGAGAAGAACATGAGGGTTTTTTTGGATTCCGTAAATTCAGAGGAAATTGTTGGCCCAATAGCAGTTCTGCAGGATGGTACATGCCAGGGTTATCCCTTTGACTGAGAATTAATAGGAAAGTGAATTAAAGTTTCTGTGTTAGTAATTAAATTGGAGAATGGTACAAGCTGATCAAATATTTTTTAAGGTCAGGGAGGGAGAGTGGAAGCTTGTGTTAGGCTAAGGGACAGTTGTGAGAAAGGAGAAGCTGAAGGTCTTGAGCCTTGAGAGATGGGTCCCTGCAAAGGTAGAGACAGAACTGTTGATGGATTCCGTACACATGAATTGGAGAAGAGGCAAGTCAGAAAGTTGAGGAAATTCAGAGTAATGCCTTCTCAACTGAGAGCAAGTGTGTGGGGCACAAAGAAGGGGAAGTTGCTGCTGGTGAGAATGCAAGGGGGACCTCATTAGAACTCCTTGGGATTTCTAGGGGGCTGTGACGTTGAATACCACAAACTTAAAACAGGACCAGTCTTTTTTTAACTTTATTTAAGTATAGTTGATAAAAGACCATTCTTTTCAAATTTGTTATATTTTCCTACAGAACTTAACCGTAGAAAATTGGTAGTTAGACAAATTAAGGGTTGGAGTTTTGCAGAGAAAGAACAAAAGGCAATCAGTTAGAGTAATGGAAATGATTGACCGTGTTCGCAGAGGTTGGCAAAATACAGCCTGTGGACCATTGTACCACAGCTATACCCACTCCTCTGAGTATTGCCTATAGGACCATTTATGCTGCAGTGGCCTGGCTGAGTAGTTGTGACTGAAACGGTCATTGGAAAGCTGAGATCACTTCTAGCCCTCTGCAGAAAATGTTTGCTGACCTTGAATTGTACGATAGGAGTGAAGCCAGCCAGGTGTATATGGGCAGGTCAGGACTAGAAGTCATTGTGAAACCAAGTAGCAAGTATCAGATTGAGAAGTCTAGAGGCTAAAAATTTAGGAGTGGACTCAAAGATATAACTAGATCTCAGTGATAATAGCTTCGGGGAAGGGATGGAACAGTGATGTGGAGGCTGAAATTCACCAGAGTTGAAGTTGAGGAATCATAAATGTGTTAGATGCTGTAACAGAAAAAATAAAAGGATACCTTTAAAAAATGACTGACAGGTAACCTACCAATATAAAGAATTTAATCCACTTAACTAAGATCTTTCTAGATGGTTTCCTCATGCATGTTTATTGTTAACTCAGCTGTACTACTATATAAAACTGAGAATGTTTGCACGCTAGTTTATTTTCTACTCTATATACAGTATTATTAAAACTACTCATTTGCTGTAGAATTCTACATGGTGAATGAACCATTGGTGGTCAGCATGTACTGTTCAAAGCTACATGTAGCTCTTTGTCCATAGCACAGATTTCTTCATTATCTAAAGAGAATATTATTGGGTTTTTAAATCTACTTTTGTTTTCCCTTTTCACTATAGGTATATGAAAATTACCCTGCTTATGACTTAACTGAAAGAAAAGAGTTCATAAAAACAACTGTTAAAGAGGTAACTATATCCAACTTTTCCAGTTTTTATCATTTTAGACTTATACTGCATATTTTTCAAAATATTTATGTCATGATTTGTTGCTCAAAATTTCCTCAGAATAGATAGGAAAATATAGTAATTTTCATTCCCATTTTAGAGCTTAAAAATAGAACATTAGTGACAAAACTTGGCCTCAGATGAAGATACGGGCTCTGTGTACATGGGCAGGCAGTCAGCTCCAAGGAGCTCACGCGACCACTTGAGCACATGTTCCTTCCTGTCCACCAGTTAAAGGCAGGAGAAAATCAGCAGTAGCTGTAGTCTTATATTGATCTCAGCTGATTTCCCAAGGTCACAGTAGTAAGGTAGAAGTTAAAAAATAAAGTGAGGTTTTGATTTATGTGTACCACATACTGTATTTTGGATATGAGGAAGTGTTTTCTCTTTTGTTACAGCTGATTTCTTGAGAAAGAGGACAGAGACAGATGACCTGTGCCCATGGAGCTAAAGATCTGACTTATATACCATTATACCAGCAAAGAGAATGTATTTCCTTTTCTAAATCTTTGCAAGCATTGTTGGTAGAACTTCCTGCTGACCTTTTTATCTTGAGTGTTAGGTGAATTGCGTTTGCCATTTTAAATTGCATTTTTATGCAGTTTTTAGTTTAAATTTTTGCATGGCTACAGTAATTGTCCCTTGCTTTTATAGTTGTATTTTGTACATTTTGGATTTCTTTATATAAGACTAGATTCTTGAACTGTTGTAGTTTTTAGTGTACGTGCGTACTATTAGCTTAAGTCATACTTTTAATCAAGTAGAACAGAAACTATGGTAATTGGCATTTATACATGCAGAGACTGTTGCAGTATTTAGTAGCTGAAATATTTTGAATACACATCTGTCAGTGTTAAAACCAGTGGCGGTGTGTTCATCATGTTAAAAATATATGAGCTTCAGCTGCCCAGATGACTAAATTGGAACTTTTCTCCTGCATGTATATATATGTCAAATTGTCAGCATGACAAGAGTGACAGATGTTATTTTTGTATTTTTAAAAACGAATTTGTTGTATATAAAGTTTTTTTATTTCTTTTGTGCAGATCAATTTTTAAACTCATATAAGTAGGTATCTTTACAGTTATAAACTATGAAACGACAGTGTTCAGCCAGATGGTATGACGGAGCAGTGAAAGTCAGAATTCAGTGAAGAAAACACTGAAGCAATAGATAGTTCTCTGCTTTGCCTTGAAGTGTCATCAATTTATAGTTTTAGTGTTAACTCTGCAAGTGTCTGTAGATACATTTTATATTAAGGGTAGACCAAAATCAACACATCAAAACTTCAAAAATTGGGGGGATCTGGATCAAGTAGAAGCACATTTGGCTTCAAATAAATATACTGATTTTTATTATTAACTGCTTTTGCCCACATAAAAAGCTGGTATTTACAGGAAACCTGGCCACCTTTGTAATTATGGTTGAAAGTATCAACTGTAATGCCAGAAGATGATAATGCATAGACAGTAGTGGGTATCTGACAAAGTATTTTTCAAAAGTGATGGGCCTATTTCTAACATTAAAGAAAGGTAACATATTCACAGAATCAGGGGTGTTAAGTTTTGGCCAATCAGGATTCTAGGTGATCAACACATGGACCACTCCTGAATTGAGACTAATTTTGTCTTTTGATTGTCTTAACAATTTATTAAATAATCTCTGAATTTTAAAAACTGCTGCTTATGTGAGAATTAGGCCTTTGATGAACCAATGAGTGTTTAAAATATCTTTGCATCATAGTACAGAAATATATAAAAATATGTTGACTGCTAACAGGTATTTTCACAGGTTTGACTTGTTTCTTGATAAAGTTATTAAGATATTAAAGAAAGGTATACTTAATACAAATGAGTGAAATAAACAACTAAATGAGACTTGAGAACTGGCCTTTGGTTTTAAATACTTGATTTGTTCCTATAAACCTTGTCAATAAAAACAATAAATCAACGCCTCTGTCTCTTTACATTTGATATGTTAACATGTATTTCAGAGTAGAAATTTTTTTAATGGATTTATTAGCCTTGTAGCCCATATAGTTTGGAGTGCTCATCACTGGTAATTGATTGCTTTTACTTTGAAAAAATACATTACAAAGAAATCTGGGCGTGGCAGGGGTGGTTTGTGCTCTCACAAAACTAAGTTGGTCAGAGTTAACTTATCTGTGATCATTCACTTGAAAAGGATACAGTATAATGCGCACAGTCTAAAGAGGTTTGGAGGTTGAAGGGATTGAGTTGGTGTGTGTGAAAGACTGTGGTGAAGATGTATCTGCTGAGTGTGTATTCATCACTATAGTGCACAGTGTATTTGAAAAACATGTTTTATTAAACAGTTTTACACAATCAGCTGTTCACAGTCTGCAGTTAAAACACATCCACTGCTGTTAAACAAAATCTTCAGGTAGCAGTGAAAAACATACTCAAGAAAAAAAATTACCGTGGCTCCTTAAAGAACAAAATGTTAGGTGACATCACTTGAGACAGGAAGTGAGGGTTTTTAAAAAATACACATTTACTGTACTTTCTTTAGGTAGATCTCCCTCCTTGTTTGCTTATAGCACTATACAAGTTTAAGTGCCCAGAAACCAAAGTAATGATGGACTGTGAACCATTTCAACTTAAAGTGTTTTGCATTTATCACTTGACACATACTATTTAAACGTTTTAATACAGGAAACATTTGAAGCAGAATACTTCCCAATCAGTACCAATGACTTTCCTTAGATAACCCTAAGTATCAACCTTTTCCTGTTAACTTTGAAACCAATTTACTGCTGTTTGCTTTCTTTCAGCTGTATCATACTTCTGGGGAAGGAAGTATGTCTTAAGTTCTTTCTAAAGTTCACGATATATTCTTTGCATAAAATACAGTTTCTACTTACAACCTGGCTTTAAAAATACCTAATATTTTGAAAAGTGGTTTCAAAGTCATTTTGAGTCCTTTTTAAGCTGACCAACATACTGAAAGAATTCTTCAAAGACTTTTTAAAACAAAAGCACTGAAGTTACCCATATTTCTAACCTGTAAACTGAAGTTTCTTGGCAAGATGGGCATCCTGAAGACCCTGAAATCAGTGTTTATTTTTTTGTCATGAGTGAAAGAAGGAAAAGGTAAATATTTACTATGTTCTCAGGCTTTTAAGATATGGCTTATAAAATGTGTAATATTTATCCCAGGATATTTCACATTTTTCTGCAGTTTTCCAGTGGACCTGCCTATGGAATACTGAAAACAATTCTATAAAAAATATTCCTAGAGACTTAATCAGTTATTTTAAAAAGAGGCAGTAGGGAGAGACTTCTATTAAATTATTCTGACCCTTTTACTAGTGGTTGCCAAAGTTAAGGCTATTTAAAGTGTCCCATCTGCACAAACATGGCTCTAAGGAAAATAGCCATATTTTGTGTCTAAAGGACGAAGACCATACTCTCTCTTCTCCATTCTCAGTTGTACCACACCTGTATTGTTGAATCGAAAATTTTGCCAATGAGTGCACAGATCTAATATGTTTTATTATAAAAGATACCTGAATTTAAATTTCTTTTGAACACCTAATGGGAGGAAATACGTACAATATAAAATAGAAGTTTTATTTACCTTGGAAGAGTTTGTACTGTATCCAAAAAGGGAAGATTTCTATCTAAATTTAAGTAAAAGCTCAATATTAGAACTATATAAAAATCTTAAGGCTCATTGGCAAAGTACTGATAAATTGTCACAGAAGTACATGGCTTTGTTTTTTTTTTTTTTTTAATGATTCCTGCTTGACTTGGTTTTTCAATGTGTGAAAATTGGTCAGCCAAAAAAAAAGTCAGATTTCAAGGGATTCTCTTAACCATGGAAGAATCATATCCAAGGTCATACCTGAAGGTTATATTCTGCCTTACTCTGAAATTGGAACATTTAGCACTAGTCAGACCAAAGGAAAATGCTATTAAATATAAGTGCTTATAAAAGGATTCGTGTAACCCATGCTTTCAGAATGGTAAAAACTGGTTTATATTACCATATCACCTTGGAACATTTCAGTTTTGCTACCTAGAGAGGATTGTTTGATTTTATCAAAATGAGGTCTAACATGTTTTTCAAACCTTTCCATTTGGGATACAGAAGAAAGCTGCGTCCAAACAAATTCTATTTAAAATGCTGCGATCTTGCTTGCTTCTCGAACACCACTCAAATACGCCCCTGTAACAGTTTGTGGAAAATGCCTGTTTGTTGCCTGTTTAAAAAAAAATTCGAGATCATGTATAAGAAATTTAGATGACTATAAAAATATATCAAAATATAATACGAACTTATACTTTCCTCCCATCCTCCTAAAATGTTGCCACTCCTGTGTGCTCACAGGAACACTCGACTCACCCATCACAGGACCTAAACATTTCTGGCTTATCTCACCATGTTTCACCAAATTCATTCTACACAGTCAGCACTCGTGTGAAGTACTGTGACATTCATGAAGGTATTCTGTATGCCAGGTACTGGAGTTAAGAATAATGACTAAGACACAGCCCCCTCCCATCAGACAATCAGTGGTAAGTCAAAACGAGCACAAGATGTGAATCAGTTCATCCTTGGCTGGAGTTTTGCTGGATGGGTATTAACAAGAAGAGGTAACAAGGGGAAAGACAAAAGGTGAGGATTATCAACAGAACCTCACCTGCAAGGAGGTTATAGTGGGAAGAGAATAAGTAATGAGGTCAGGAAAGTCAGGCTTGGATTTACAACTGTTAGGTATTTTCTGTCCTTGTTGTTAGGTATTCTTGCCTGGAAAATTTGATGGACAGAGAAGCCTGGCATATATAGTCCATGGGGTCCTGAAGAGTCGGATATGACTGAAGCGACTGAGCATGCATGCAACCAAGACAGAGTCTGGGATGTGATTATGGGAGAAGAGTAGCTAAAATGTAGTCAAGTAGGTCAGAGAAAAGGGAATATAAGAAACATGAAGTTCTACGTGAATTTAGGTTCTATGTCACCCAAACTGATGCTGGAATGAAATGGAAAAACATCCTGGTGCCAAAGACTTTAATAAGTGGGAGGATGATCAGGAGGCCAGGGGGAACACCATTACTGGGGAAAAGAGTAGCAGAGTAATAGAAACGTCAAAAGAAATGGGTTTTACAAGAAGTACTTAGTTACTTCAGTCGTGTCTGACTCTTCGACCCTATGGGCTGTAGTCTGCCAGGCTCCTTTGTCCATGGGACAAAGAATATGGGCAAGAATAATGGAGTGGGTGCCATGCCCTCCTCCAGGGGATCTTTCTGACCCAGGAATTGAACTTGGGTGTCCTGCACTGCAGGCACATTCTTTACCACTGAGCTACTGGGGAAGCCCTTTTATAAGAAGTTGAGGCAGCAACTGGAGAGAGTCCCTTGGACTGCAAGGAGATCCAATCAGTCCATCCCGAAGGAAATCAGTCCTGAATATTCACTGGAAGGACTGATGCTGAAGCTGAAACTCCAATACTTTGGCCACCTGATGTGAAGAACTGACTGACTGGAAAAGACCCTGGTGCTGGGAAAGACTGAAGGTGGGAGGAGAAGGGGACGACCAGATGAGGTGGTTGGATGGCATCAACTCAATGGACGTGAGTTTAAACTCTGGGAGTTGGTGATGGAGAAGAAGGTCTGGTGTGCTGCAGGCCATGGGGTCACAGAGTCAGACACAACTGAACGACTCAACTGAGGTAGCAGTTGTATCAAAGCAAAGAAAAGTCAAAACTTCTAAAGCCTGTTCATGGCCCTTTGGCCCTCTTAGGGCCATCTCTTGGAAGCAGTCGACAGTTGTGGCCTGGAATGCAACCATTATGCTCTTTTCCTACAAAGTTGGTGCTTTACAGGCCAAAGAGGAAATCAAAGTCAGCTGGTTTTAAAATGATAATTCCTTTGTAATAATTCAAAAGCCCTGAAAAGAAAATATTAAAAACACTATTTTAGATGAATCAAGGAGAACTATATAATCCTAAACTGTATTAGGGTATGAAGACAGATGAAAGAGTGCTGAGAATTTACTGTATTTTGATGAACTGGATGGATGTGGAGGGTGGGAAACGGGTGATGGGGAATAGCGAAGGCAAACTAATTCAACCCCAGAAATCTTTTTTTTTTGTTTACCATTAATTTTAAAAATAAATACTGAAAAGAGGGATCTAGGAAGTGTGAACCCAAACCCTGGAAAGTGGTAAGGAGGAATCCTGGAAGGACAGATCTGCAGGAATCCCCAAGATAAACCAGAGCAAAGAGAAGGTGTCAGGAAAGGGGGTTTCAAGGAATGGAACCTACAGGCCGTCTATAGGGATTCAACTATGAACTAGAGAGGACTCAAAGTGGGGAGGCTTGCGACATCCCTGGTAGTCCACTGGTTAGGATTCTGCAACTCTGTGTTTCCATTGCAGGAGGCATGGGTTGGATCTCTGGTTGGGAAATTTAGATTCCCAGGCATGGCTCAACAACAACAACAAAAAGTGGGGAGGCTTAAGGAGCGGTATAAAAAGAGTTATGGAGAAGGAAATGGCAACCCACTCCACTATTCTCGCCTAGAGAATCCCATGGACACAGGAGCCTGATGGGCTGCTGTCCATGGGGTCGCACAGAGTCAGACACCACTGAAGCGACTTAGCATGCATGCACTGGAGAAGGAAACGGCAACCCACTCCAGTGTTCTTGCCTGGGGAATCCCAGGGACGGAGGAGCCTGGTGGGCTGCCGTCTATGGGGTCGCACAGACTCAGACACGACTGAAGCAAATTAGCAGCAGCAGCAGCAGAAAAAGAGTTAAGCTAATGAAAAAAGAAGCTACTATGACTGAAGAGGAAACAGCTGTGTAAGAAAAGAATCGCGGTTGCCTTCCTGGCTCAGCAGTAAGCAACCACATCACATAAGCACTGACACCAATTTAAAATTGAATTGTGAAGTAAACAGACGGAAGAGATCAAACAGGCTAAGTCTTTAACCTGACAGGAAGTCTGGAGGTAATGTCTTAATTTCTTAAATCCAAAGACAACAATGTAAAGATCTTAAGGCATGATGTAAACTCCAGAAGAAAACAGCAAAAAGAGTTAAAAATGGCTGCTCAGGGAGTTTGAGGAGGATGTTGTCAGGGTACCTGCCGTTCGTTGCCGTAAGACTTTTGACGGTATTTGACGTCGCTTTTAAGCTCTGAACGCAAACCACTTCAGCTAAAAGCAAGTGATCCAAATGAAAGCAAGCGGGGTGGGAGTGACGAAACCCACCTCGCCAGCAAAAAAGACGGTTCCTTGTATTTCCTCAGCAAGGATGTCGTAGGCCTCACCGCTGCCCCCTGTCTTCACGAAGCTGTATGCCATCTGGATCCAGGGGTCCGTGCTCCAGCGGGTGACAAAGTACTTGTTGGGATCTGGGACCTCCTGTGTCGAGCAGAAAGATCGGAAGTGACTTGGACTGGATGCAACCCAACCGTTCTAAAATTACAGCCCTCCCGCCATCCGGAAAGTGAGTTAATCCCTGTGGCATTCTGGGATAGCAGTATGCTATCCCAGTATGACCCTCCTGCCCGCCCGTTGCTCTGCCCAAGGCTCCGTATCTGTGTCTCTTCCTCTATCGCTGCCCCATCTTTCTGACCTTCCCCAACACACACGTCTCCTCACTTCAACACCTTGTCCTTCTGCCAGAGACAATTTCCCCACCTACCAGGGGTCATCACCAAAGGCTAAGAGTCCAGGTATTCCTCTTCCCTGGGGCTTCCCTGGCAGCTCAGACGGTAAAGAATCTGCCTGCCAATGCAGGAGACCCAGGTTCCATCCCTGGGTCGGGAAGATCCCCGGAAGGAGGGCGTGGCAGCCCACTCCAGTATTCTTGCCTGGAGAATTCCATGGACAGAGGAGCCTGGCGGGCTACAGTCCATGGGGTCGTGAAGTCGGACATGACTGAGCGACTAACGTACACACATATTCCCCTTCTCATCACCTGGAACGCGCTGGACCAGAGGAGGGGAGGGACGGGTAGGGTCTGAGGACCTCTGACTGGAATTCTCAACAGGCTTCTCCACAGAACAGCTACACCAGTCATGTTTCACTCTTAAGTTTCAGATAATTCTGTAGGCTGACCACTGCCAAGCGCCACCGTGAAACAGATTTCTGTGCAAACTGTGTGCTAAGTTCCAAATAACTGATGTGAAAACGAATTTTGAGAAAAAAGTCCCAGGCGAGGGACTAATGTGAGAGAAAATTGCACCATGTAAAGTAAGCAATACCGAGGGCCCCCCTCTTTCTAATGTACTTTATGTTTTGAGTCATTTCTCTTCTTTCTACTCTGCTCCTTTATTGGAAAAAAGATATACATCATGCCATTTATAAATCTCCAGAGACGGTGAGATTTAGTAAACTGGAGAATAGAAAGTACCTTGAGCTTCTTGGAGAAAAGGGAAAGAGACTAGTGGTGGGGGTGCAAGAAAATTCTGGACAAGGTCCCTTTGAATGGAAAACTGCTGTCAAAGCTTGCTAGGGTTTGGGAACAGGATACCCAAATATAGGATCAGTGGAAAATGCTGAGTCTTTTCCCTCTTGAGGAGAGAAAGGGGGTGTGCATGATGTAAGGAAAAAAAGGAAGAGAATTAAAGGAGGAATGGGGTACTGTTATGAGCTTCACTGTGTCCCCTACTCAACTTCAGATGATGAAACCCTAACCCACAGAACCTCAGAAGGCGACTCTATTTGAGACAGGACTTCGATGAGGTAAGTCAAAATGACGTCATTCAGGTGGACCATAACCCAGGATGCCAAGTGCCCTTCTAAGAAGAGAGGATTAGAACACAGACGGCATAGACCGAGGCGAGACAGCAGGAGGACATGGGGGAAGCCGCCATCTGTGAGCCAAGGAGGGAGGCCTCAGGGGAGACCAACCCCCCACCCCCACCCCCTCGATCTAGTGTCCAGCCTCCATAATTGTGAGGCGATGGATTTTTGTTGCTTGGACTATCCAGCCGTGCAGTCTGTCACGGTGGCCTGGGTAAACTAATGCAGTTACTTCAGTGGAAAGTTGGGGCTTCCCTTTACTCAGATGGTAAAGAACCTGCCTGCAATGTTCGATCCCTGGGTCAGGAAGATCCCCTGGAGGAGGGAATGGCAACCCTCTCCAGTATTCTTGCCTGGAGAATCCCATGGACAGAGGAGCCTAGCGGGCTACATACAGTCCATGGGGTCGCAAAGAGTCGGTCACGGCCGAGTAACTAACACTTGGATGTTGAAAGAGAGGAAGACTGCGGCCCGTGGCCCTGAGCCCCTTCGTGCTTGGCATGAATGGATTTGCTTTGGGTCCGCGCCACCCTGAAGAGCACGGGAAGTTGGCGATAAGCATGTTTCTCTTTTCAAAGAGCGTGTGTCTGACCTGCTCCTTGAAGAGCTCGCGCAGGGTGGCCATGCACTGCTGCAGCACCTGCTTGTCCTCCAGGTTCCGGACGGCCGCCACTGCCTCCCCCGCGATCACCGACATCAGCACGCTTCTCCAGTATTCTTGCCTGGAGAATCCCATGGACAGGGGAGCCTAGCGGGCTACATACAGTCCATGGGGTCGCAAAGAGTCGGACACGGCCGAGTAACTAACACTTGGATGTTAAAAGAGAGGAAGACTGCGGCCCGCGGCCCTGAGCCCCTTCGTGCTTGGCATTGAATGGATTTGCTCCACCCTGAAGAGCACGGGAAGTTGGCGATAAGCATGTTTCTCTTTTCAAAGAGCGTGTGTCTGACCTGCTCCTTGAAGAGCTCACGCAGGGTGGCCATGCACTGCTGCAGCACCTGCTTGTCCTCCAGGTTCCGGACGGCCGCCACTGCCTCCCCCGCGATCACCGACATCAGCACGCTGTGCTGCTTCTGGACACGTGACAGGGAAAGGCACTTTACATGCTGGGCTCTGCGGACCCAAGTCTCCAGAGGCGCGGGTCTAGGCACTGGGGTGGCCAAAAAGCTCGTTCGGGTGTTTCCATCTGATCTCATGCGAAAACCCGAATGACCTTCTGGCCAACGCAATAGACGTGACCCTCATCCTCACAGGTCACATGTCATCATTTCCCACTGTCTTGTGACCCAGACCACCCACCTTCATTTATGCATTTTATTGTTCCCTGCTGGAAAAACTCCAGAAGTCATGTATGTATCAAACCCCCAGGTTCTCTTGGCTTTTCCCTTCTAAGAACTTGTTTTAGAAGAAATGGAATGAGATTGAGAAGGGAAGTCTGCAGCTATAATAATGGGGGGGGGAGCGGAGAACCCTTCTTGAACAGTAAGGACATTCTGCTCTTGGCTCCCATGTGGAACCTTTGAAAATAAAGTGTCTTGGGATAGACAGGCAGGAGGAAAAACAACTGTGAGGGTTGGCAGGACATCAGCACAACCATCACTTTCAAGCCCAGGTGAAAGTCCTCTCCTCAGTCCTCCTCCCCCAATCAATCACATCTAGTGAATCCCAGACCCTCCCTCATGTGGGCCAATCATACCTGCCCCTCTCCCCCCTGGAGGACCCTTGGGGAGAATATTTCAAGTACTATTCATTACTGTGCTATCACCAATTCTCCCTAAGAGGTATTTTTCCATCAGGAAGAATTCTTCCACTTCCATGGCAATGAATTCATTTCCCAGGGACCAACATTAGTCCTATATGAGAGATACGGGGGCTCCTTTCCTACAGGAAGACATGCCCTGCAACTGTCCCCCCAGCATACAGACAGACATCCAGAGCGTCTACAATGTCCATTAGTTCCTGGGCTTGACACGGAAGTAACTACCAAACCAAATTCTAAACTGTTATACAAGGGAATCCAAACCACGGTCTAACACCCATGACTTTACCTGGGGATCCATGTCATAGAACACGGCAAAAAGCCCTCGCTTGCTGGCACTAGGAGGAACGTGACCAAAAAAGTCAGCCCCTTGAACTTTACTGTCCCAAAACCTATAAGGAAATTGCAAGGCAATCTGGAAAGCAAGCAAGAGAAAGGTGGTTATTAAGAGTTCACTGAAATCAAAAGTGTGGCAATCTCTAAGAAGCCACCCATAGCTCTTAAATACTTATGTTTGAAAAAAAAAAAGATGTTCCAAAAAACTCACACACACTCCCTTTCTGTTCTTCTATCCTTTGTTCTCCCTGTGACCATCTGTTTTTTAATACCATTCAGTCTTGTCCTCCCACGGATAATGGTGGGACCCACTGACAACCTCTAGGCTAATCCGAAGATGCAGGGCACTGCTGAGACTTAGTCTTGAAGCTTACGCTCAGGAGATAAAAGTCTTACTACTCATAAGTCTGCTGGTACCTACTGCAGCACTGGCAGATTCTGCTAAAGCAGTTTTTCAAGGCAAAGGAAGTGAAACCCTCTCCTCGTTGGGGTTAATTAATGAAGTGTACTAGGGGCTCCCTGGTAGCCCGGTTGGTAAAGAATCTGCCTGCAATGCAAAGAGACTGGGATCCAATCCCTGGGTCAGGAAGATCCCCTGGAGAAGGAAAGGGCAACCCACTCCAGTATTCTTGCCTGGAGAATCCCATGGACAGAGGAGTCTGACAGGCTACAGTCCCTGAGGGGGTCGCAAGAGTCAGACATGATTTAGCGACTAGACTACTACTACTGGTGAAGGGTAGACATGGAAAGCAGGAAAAAAAAATAAGAATTGCTTATTTATATACCCAGTTCAAATCCTGAATAATGAAAAGTCTTTCTCCTGAATCAAAACTTGCAGAGCTCAGTCCGCTCTCCTCTTTTTGTTTTGATAATAGCCTTCTGAATTCTTCAGGAACAATTACTCAAAGGAAGAGGGAGTCTTTGAATGTGACGTGGATTCAAAAATCACCTATTTCCCAATACCAGAGGTTTGGGAATCCCTGTCATCTGATACTCATCTCTCTAGTTGCCAGGGTTACGTAATTCAGTCACCTTTTCAATGATGCCTGCTCCTAAGCTGTTGATGGCCTTCATCTTCTTGTCTGACAACGGTGGATTAAACTGAATGGCACCTTTCTGCAGTAAAGCCAGCGGCACAGTGACTAACACCTGTGGGAAATAATGAACCGTTCACATTTTGTCAAGTGTTTATCAATGCACCCTGTTGGGCTGGAAATCTTTCACTTGTAAGCTGGGGTAACTTCCAATTGAAACTGTGATGTGTGCTGACTACTAAAAATATCTGCTTTCATCATTTCAGAGCAGGCTTTTTGAGTCACAGCCTGAAACTCCACCCTAATTTCTCTAAAAGCCAGAATACAAAGAAAAAGAGCAAATGGGCCAGGTCAGGGTCAGGCAGAGGGTGACACAGCAGGGTTAGCACACCTAGCATGTGGTCCTGAGCCATGAGCTGACTTGCAATTTTACAAGGCCTGTGTGTGTTAGTCACTCAGTCGGGTCTGAGTCTATAGTGACCCCATGAACTGTAGCCCACTAGGCTTCTCTGTCCGTGGGATTCTCCAGACAAGAATACTGGAGCAGGTTGCCATGCCCTTCTCCAAGGGATCTTCCCAACCCAGGGATTGAACCCAGGTCTCCTGCATTGCAGGCAGACTCTCTACCATCTGAGCCACAGGAGAAGCCTGCAATTTATAAGGCAGTATTTAAAAAAAATTTTTTTTACCATTAGGAGGAATACTAGATATTGGCCTGATTCTCACCTGGGGAGTCACAAATATGGATGCTACTGACAAGTGGTTTTCAACTCTGTCACATGTTGGAATCACTTGGGAAGCTTTAAAAACACAACCAGACCAGTTCAGCAAGAACCTATGTGGGGTGGGACTTTGTAACCTTTCTTGTTAAGCACCTCCCAGGTGATTCTACCCAGGGAAGGAAATGGCAACCCACTCCACTATTCTTGCCTGGAAAATCCCATGGACAGAGGAGCCCTGTGGGTTACAGTCCATGGGGTTGCAAAGAATCGGGCATGACTTAGTGACTAAACCAGCACCACAGGTGATTCAGAGGTGCAGCCAGGGCTGAGAAGTACTGCTAGTCCAAAGTCTATACGACCAATACTCACTACCTAGCTAATTAATGGCAGGAACAATATGAGGAATTATTCCATCCCCCCTGGAATTATACACTACCCTGTCTTTCCCATTTGACATGCAATCCGTCATTTCTGTATGAATACCAAGGACTATGAAATATTTTTAGTTAACTGAAAAGCATAAAACACAGCTAGTCTAGGAACCAGTGATAGTTCATCAGTTATACTTTTCGGTAAACACTTCAGACATAATTAAATAAATCTATGGGGGTTATTAAGCCCCCTCCACCCCAACACTTTGTTTTCCAACACTACAGAAATCTCAATGTGATTTCTTATATTACATTACAGCACCATTCACAGTCCGCCTACTAAAGTTGTTTACAAAAAATTCAAATGATATAAAAGTACTTCTGCCAGTTTCAAGATAAAAACACAGTGTTCTTGATCTGAAAAAAGGTTCTGTGGTACAGAAACAAACACACCACCCACTTAGAAACCACTGAATTAAACAAAGGAAAAACAGGTTGCTAAAATGCAGGACTTCTCAGAGCCTTTAATATGTTCTTATTTAACTTGAAACGTAAACTCATATATCATACTTACAAACTTGTTTGGTCAAAGAATTTCTTTTCTTGTTCAACTCTCAGAACTAATGCAGCACTACCCAGAATTCCATCTGCCTTGAATCTATATGCTGGTCAAATAATTAAATCCGATTTGTACATCCACACACCACTAGTGGAGATACAGAATTCTTCAGAGGTCAAATAAGGCTCCAGGGAGATGGCTAAAGGCAAGCCACTCGGTGGAAAAGCCTGGTCTCTCTCACTCCCAGGCCACTGGCAGCACCCAAGGGAAGCACAGTGCTTACCTTCTGAGCTGGACACGCTATTCCGTCCGTAGTGGTAACTTGCACTTCATCTCCAGAATAGTCAATACTCTGTACCTGCTCAAGAAAAGCAATTATGGAAAACATAATGAGGGATGGAACCACACAATCCGGGGTCCTCTCCAATTCTCTTATGATGGGAGTTTACATTTCCAAGGCTATGGGAAACCACTTCCTGGCATTTGAAGAACTAAACAGTTATCGCTTCCTTCAGGGAATTCTCACTCCGTCATTGAAATTTATTAACACTATGTCAGAATATAGAAAAATCTTTACAACATCGTGTAAGGTGAAATACAGACACATATATGTAATTGCCTCTATGATTATAACCATGTACAATATATTTGAGGGGAAAATTTAAGTGTGAAAAGAACCACGCTGGGTCAGGGAGGTGGTGAGCCACCCAAACGCTTGATTATTAATAAAAGTGCATCTCAGTCACTATTGTTTCCAACAACAGCAGCTACCTAATCGACAAAGAATGCAACTGATCATAGTATAAAAAGTACCTGGAGACACTGGCTGAACGTCAAAGCAGGCGCCTGTCTGCTATGTAACCTACATGTCCCAAACTTCACATGCTCCAAATGCCACCAAACCCGAGCCACCCGCCGCTGTGGACACTCACGGGAGACCTGAGCCGGATGTCCAGTCCCTCAGCCAGTTTTTCTAAGATGACGGAGTATCCGGGAGTGAGGAGGGTGTGGTCACCCGCAAACTGGGCAAAGAATTCATTGTGGTCCCAGGAGCGAGCAGACACCTGGGAAACACCAGGAGAGGTTGGAAAACAAGAGGTGGTGGAAAAGCTGCAGCCTGCACCTAAGGGACAAGAAAAGGAACCCAGGGTGGGGAAAGCCATCCCAGGCAGGAGGACAGGGGGTGAAACAGGAAGGAAGCGGGGAGTGACGGACGAACAGATAACGCCAGGTGGATGCTGCTGCCAGGGGAAGGAAATTTCTCAGTAATGCATAGGAAAGCTTATTTTAGTACAAAATGTAGATATGATTTGGCCATGGGTACCACTCCCTGACAAAAAGATGTATTATACATCAACAACACTGGAAAAGGACAATTCTATGGAAAAGGACAATTCCTGCATCTGATCAACTCCATATAGAAATATGCCATCTAGATGTCTTCAACATGGGAATTCCATAGAAGCTGAAATGCAGCATGATTCTGGGAAAGTGTTATTCCAATTGCAAAGAATCACTGAATGCAAACATCAATTGTTGTCCCTCCCCCACCCCTACCATAGAGGATAATTAAGTCGGGGATCATCCACAGAACTGTGATTCAATGGTGCAGCATATCCAAGTCGCATGATCAGAGCTGGTGACATGAATTGAAAAGTGAAAGTTAGTTGTTCAGTTGTGTCCAACTCTTTGTGACTCTATGGACTGTCGCCTGTCAGGCTCCATGGAATTCTCCAGACAAGAACACTGGAGTGGGTAGCCATTCCCTTCTCTAGAGGAACGTCCCGACCCATGCAATTTTAAATTTATTTTAGCAAGATGAACAGGTCCTAACTGCAAAGGTGCTCTATTCTGGTTTCTTAAGAGCAGTGTTTTCAGCCCCTTGTTGCACAGGCATGCCTTGAGGGCCCCCCCGAAGAGGGCAGTGGACAGACACAGGCCCATGACCCCTCCCCCTCAGCACAACAGCCTTCCAGTCTTCAGGTTGACAGAGTGAGCATCTTCAAAGTCACTATTTGCAGAAAGGCTTCTCCTGCTTTAAAGAATTTTTTGTTCAAAACCACCATAGGGTTCATACACTCTAAAGTTGTGGTTTGGGGACTTTTAAGCAGCAGACCCGTGGAACTCTGTTATCCAGACCATCACGGGCTCAACATTTCGATATGTGAACACACACACACAGAAAGAAGCATGTTCAAAGCCCACCTGATGAAGGTTGCTGCCACAGGCATATTCCAGGTTACTGAGATGGAACTGAAGCACCTGCTCCTCCAGCTCACTGAACTGGATTCCAGACTCTTTGATAAAAGCTTTGTAGATCTCCTCTATCTTTTCTGCAATGGGAAGGGAGCAAAGCAGAAGAAAAAAAAATAGTTTGAACATTATGGTCCAATTCCTTATCCTTTGCGCTCCACCTCCTTCAACCCGCAAGAACCCAAACTTTGGAAGATCTTTCCCAGGTAGACCCAGGGGAAAGGGTAAATGTCTTGACAAGGTTGGTTTCTCTTGGGAAGGAAAAGCATATCTTAACGGGGAACGAAGCTATGAGGGTCCTATGTCTTCAACCCTGTTTCATTTCTGCTTAGTGGAGAACCAATTTTTCCTTTTGCTTGAGATAAAGGAAAAGTGACCTCTGTATATATACACAGAGAGAGAGAATTCCCATTCCCTTTCTGCTCCTACTGCACCACCTTAAAGTCAAGTTCTTATAACAGCTCACCTCCACCAAAAGATCTATCACAGACTGACAACTGGCTATCGTCTCTCGCAAACATTCCAAATATTCCACCATGGACTTCCACGAAGGCAACTCTCTGGCTCAACACCTTTAATTACTGGTTCTCCATTGCCTATGTAATAAATTCCAAAACCCACAGCCAGACAGAGTGAGCACATTTTTAGCTTTTCCAAAGACAGCAAACCCCACCTGCCCACTCACTCAATCTTTTCCTGGTAAATGCCAACCCTGCCACGTCTGCTACTACCATGCTTCTCCCTGGAATGCCCTGCCCCTGCACCCCAGTCCCGTCCATCCTTTATAGACCAGCATCACCTGGTCACCACCAGCCTCAGGAATTGCTCCCTGGTTATCAACCTCCAGCACTTATCTATCCCATTCAACTGGAACTTTCAACTACACATACACATCCTTGTGTTATTCCGATGACTGTCTTAGATTCCTTTCAGGGGGAGGTGGAGGAGGAAAAGGCTTGTGCCTGACAAATATCTCAGCAAAAATGACCTCTTTAGAATGTTCCCAGTGATGACAACCATCCAACAAAGATGGGGCAGACTCAAAGCTTCTATAAGGCATTCTGCACATGCTTGACTAGAAACAGAACTGGGTATCAGTTCGCTTTTTTTTTGACAACTGAAGGTTCTCATTAATATGTTCCATTCTTATGCTAGACTGCTGTATGGAGATGTCCACGGCATCTTTGTGCTACACTCTTGTTCCTAACCTCTGGGTTTTTTCCACTTTCAGTACCTTCTCATACCAATCCCATCCTGGTCTCCCACTATGTAGTTTCTGTTTTCCTTTGGGTTTCGTAAAGGTGTGGGAAGAACCAAGATTGCTAAAATAGTACATAAAATTAAAGTATAAGCAGGCTGAGAGAAGCCTTCATGTGATTTCGACGTAAATAACATTTTAAAGCTTTAGTCCATTTGCTTTGTGAAATTCACTCTAGCTTCTAACTACTTATACTTTTGTCTTCTGAACTAAATCTAATGAGGTGAGAGCTCAGACAGCTGAGATACTACACTAGGCAGGCTCTAATGTAACCTCATGTAGAGATGGGGGCATTATTACTAAAGCTTTTCAAAAAATATATCAATATGATGAAACAACTACTTATAGAGTAAATATTGCTGATCTTCCCTTAATAACTTGTTTTAAGTAAAGCCAAAACATTACTAATTTTTGTAGATAATGACCCTGAAAGAATCATGATGAGAACGCCACCCAGCGACTGTCACACAAACACTAACCAAATTCTGAGAACATCCTGCAAGTCCACCTAGTTGCTGTCTTCCAGAAAATTCAATTACCTGCCACTTGGCCTGGGCACTACCACATTTGACTAAACGACCCCAGTCAACCCCAGGACGTTTCTAAAAATGTTCTGTTATGGTTTGTCTGTCAACACTTTTACTAAGGGCAGTTAGAAAGTGGGTCGGTCTCAGAGGTGAAGACTTGAGATAATGGGGGGTGGGGTGGGACGTGATGAGAGGATTAAAAAAGGAGACAGACAGTCCCTGCTGAGAAATTTACCCCAAACAGAGATGGTGCCTATGCCAGAACCCTCACACAGAAACACAAAGTTGAAGCCAATTAACACCCTGGCAGTTGAGTTAAAATGCTCACAATGTAAGAGACTCCAACATGCTCCCGAGAATTACAAATGAATACATTCAGGTCATGAAATCGTAGGTTAAATAAATATCAATTTAAGAAGCAATATAGTAAGATCTCAGCTGGCACCCTCAGGAAATGAGCTGTTACTGTTAGGTTTTCTAGAGGGTTGTGGTGAATATGGTTCATTCGGTACCAAAGCCTAAAAGTTTTGAATTACAATTCTTAAATTATAATATACAGTCTTGCATTCTTAAACAAAATATATGTATAAAATAAATCTTAACCTTCCGTCTGAAAAAGGGAAAGAAATCCTGGCACATAGAAACTCTTATCTAAAGTCATTACATGGTGGCTAGTTATTCACATAGAGCTTATCACATGTTTTCTTAAAAGCAAGCTCTTCTGGGAAATTGAAAATTAAACACTTACATGATTTTTTAAAACACAGGCTATTGTGTGAAGTAAGCTGTGTGCATGCATGCACATGCACACACACACATCTAAAGGTCCCTGAGGCAGTTTTGCTCCCCTTTGTGGAATGGCCAGTTTTCCAAAAGGGATGCTCCAAAGGACTATTCTCACTGGGTCCACCCAGGCTTGTGGATGGATGATGCTACCGCTGATCAAGCTTAAGTTAGAATGAGACTCAGATGGAACAATCAGAACACCATTCTCCCCATACCTCCTAAAGGGACATCTTGGAGCTGAGTCTTATCCTTCCTCCACTCAGAGACCACATCCAAGAGAGCATTAAAATGAAAATCCATGCGCTTGTCAATAGTGGGGTCAGTTATTCTTCCACCTTCCTGAATTAAGTCACATCTTTCTCCAAACTTATGCATGCTGATGCCAAGCTTCAAAATAATAAGAATAAGAAGGTGAAAAGTTTTCCCTGGAAAAAATAGGTACAGGTTCTAAGCTGCAATCAGACAGAGCTCTCGTGGAACAAAGAGTCAGTAAGGATCTCTCAAAAATACAGGCTGATCAGGGCATGGCCACAAAGGCAGGCAGTGAAAAACCAGCATGGGACCGGAGAATGGGAGGGTGCCAGCAACAGCTTCGAGGCCATGCCCTCCACCAAGGTTTACCCATGCTTCAGATGCTATCACTGCGCACCGCCCCTCCCTGCTCTGACATCCTTTCTCTTCTGTGGAATCTCACAGGAAAGAGCACACAAACGCACAGACATTCACAAAAGTTGAGGCTGAACTGACTGTCAATCAACAGTTCACAAAAACCCTTGGGTCTACCACAGGTCTTCAAAGAAATCAGGTAGGGTTACCCGACGAGAGACAGGAAGCCCCATTAATTCTCAGATAAACAATGAATAGTTTTTTTTTTTAAAGCATAAGTAGGTCCCAAAGAGTGCATGCAAGATATCCCATGTGATACTGGGACATACTTATATCAAAAAAATTATCGGTGTTTATCTGAAAGTCAAATTTAAGTTGGCATTCTGTAATTTTGTTTGCTTAATTGGGCAACCCTACAGCAATGAGCTAATCAAGTGACCTGCAAATTAACACGCAAATATAATTACAGACCTGGGGGGGTGGATTAAGTCTTCCAGTTCCGCCTTCGGAGAAAGAAGAACTGTAATTGTTCTTATTTACTTTTCAGAAGGGATGAGGGGCAACAAATCATTCTGGGTTTATTACATGTTATCTAGAGGCATATTAATACTGCACACAAGCAAGCTGAGGGCGTCTTTTGTTCATCTACAGTACAAATCTTAAAGAAACTCACTTGTTCACACATGAGTGCTACTGGGTTGTTAACACAGCCATTGACAATCTGGGCTCCTCGTCCCACCGTGACGCCTGTGAAAGACTTATCATCCCATACTCGGCCTCCGATTCTGTCTTTGGCCTCCAGGACAGTCACCTAAAAAGACAGACAATCAGAGAAGCTGAAGAAGATGGAACAGTCATAACCAAATGCAGTACAAATGTAAAGTGACACAGTAAGATGAGTTTTGCATCTAGTTAATACATTATCATATTATTAGAAAAACAACTTTAAAAAGAGGGCAGTGTGTCAAGGATCCAGCAATTCCATTCCTAGGCGTCTCTCCGGAAAAAATTATAATTTAAAAAGGTACATGCATCCCCATGTCCATAACAACACTATTCACAATAGCCAAGATGTGGAAAAAACCTAAGCATCCATCAACAGATGAATGGAAAAAGATGTGATGTATATATATATATGTACACACACACACACACACACACACACACACAGGAATACAATTCAGCCATGAAAAAGAAGAAAATAATGCCATTCGCAGCAGCATGGATGGACCTAGAGATGATCATACTAAGTGACATAAGTCAGAAAGAGAAAGACAAATGCCACATGATATCACTTATATGTGGAATCTATTACACAAATGAATGTATCTGCAACACAGACAAAAAAAAAAAATCACATGTGATTCTAAGCACGACCACATGGGCTTGGCCAGCACAGACTGGTCCCACAGCCAGATTACTTTATCTCCTCCAAATTTCTGATGCTGGAGGTGGAAGCAGCTGCTCTCAGGTGGACAGCCCTGTGCCTCAAAGAGCAACCCTGCCCTTGCTTGCAGAAGCTGAAAACGGGAAGCCTCCTCAGTGCAAAAGCAGTCCTTTTGCTTCTGGAGCCCCAGGAGCACTCCTTCAGACGGCTCCAGGAGGCTCCCGAGCTAAGCATCTCTGAGGTTACTCAGAGGAATCTATTTCCTAACCAGGAGGGGTGGTTTCCCCAGAGAAAGGGGAGAACAACAGAGGTCCCCTGAATATTCTTCTTCCTCGGACCTAAATTTCTCACTTTGTCCAATTAGAAAGGCTTCAGCTCTCCACCTTCTCTCTGACTTCAGATGAACCCAGAACCATCCATTTCTAGTTTCTTTTTTAGTTTGTAAGAGGAAGGCTGAATGTTAAAGAAATCTCCTCCTCCCCCGACTTTGGCTAGAAATAACTTTTTTTTTTAATCGAAATATAGTTGACTTATAATGCTTCTGGTGTACCACAAAGTGATTCAGTTATACATATGTATATATATAATTTTTTTCAGGAATAACTTTCCCTGTAACATAATGTGAATTTCCCGAGCAAAAAACAAGAAACCTTGGCCCTAATATCTATTGCTGAAATATACATATGGCCAATTAAAATGCCTCACAGCTTAATACAACCTCTCAGACAATATTTTGAAAGGCAAACACACTTCCTATAAACTCAACTCAGATTCTCCTGTTTTTGTTAGTAGTATATACAGAATCCAAGACGTAGATCTTGCTTCCCACCAAAAGGAAAACCTCTGAGGCACAACCACTGAAAACTTTCTCATTTCTGAAACTCCGCCAGCAGAGAAGATGCTGTGAAAAATGTTGATTCTTTTAGCCACACAGAGCACAGCAAAAGGCTAATTCAATTCTACCAAATTGATTTTCATGTTTGGTTTAATGGAAAACCAAAGTCCTTGCAAAACAAGTTTTTAAAAAATGGAGAAATGAGTCAGACCTAGGAAGTCCCAAAAATCTGGGAGACTTGAATGAATCTAATGGAAATTAGATACTGAATTGCACAATTTTTTTGTAATCGACTCTATTTTGGCATTTTACAAGTAGTTATTCTACTAAAAAGATAAATAGATAAAAAGAAATAATATAGCTAGCTAGTGGGAAGTTGCTATATATCACAAGGAGCCCAGTTAGGTGCTTTGTGATGACTAGGGATGGCAGGGGGAGGGAGGTCAAGAGGGATGGAATATATATGTATAATTATGGCTAATACTCATCATTGTATGGCAGAAACCAAGACACACAGAAAATAAAGGATTTCTAAAATTAATAAAAATAAAATACATTTTGACATGAAAATTAAAAAGAAAGAGTATCTTTCCTTGGGGAAGAAGGCTACCCCAAATACAGTAGTTTAGTCGCTAAGTCGTGTCTGACTCTTGCGACCCCATGGATGATATAACGTATGTAGCATTCTTTGCTAAAATCAGGAACTAGTTTCCAAGTCTTAGAAAATTTGGACCAAAGGAGCAGTTAACCATCTGTTTTCATCTCCATGTCCTCCAAGTCTTACCTTAATTCCAAAGTTATGCAGTTGCCTAGCAGCTGCTAATCCGGCTGGACCAGCCCCAATAATGATGACTGATTTCTTTACGAAAAGAAAAAAAGAAACAAAAATCCAATTAGAGCAATGAAAAAAAATGTACTAGAAGTTCTGGGGCCAACTGCCAAGCAATGTTAGTTCATCTGTATTTCTTTGTTGTCCCGTTTGTAGAAAGGTACTTCCCCAAAGAACATAACAGTACTTGTCCTAAGTCATCCACCCCTTCCTCTTTTCTACCTTCCAGGGGAACAGCGGTTAATATTCTTTTCCCTGAAGAAATGCATAATCTACAAAAGTCTCACTTTATAACTTTTAGAGCGATAATGTGAGTTTTACTTGTATTATTAACATTGAATCATGGATCATGACCATTGGTAGCAGCACTGCTAGAGTGACAGTCACCTACATTGTGGTAATCTTTAGGCAGAAGATGCTGGTCGGGGCCGACGCTGAGAACTCCTGTGTTGATGAGACCTTTCCTCGTCATAAAATAAAGTATCCTCTCCACCTCCTGAACGCATCGAATGCGCACGAGACCCCGGACGATGATGTGAGGAATACATTTCTGAGGAGTAAGAGCTTCCTGTGTTTGGAAATAAAACCAGATTGTTAAACTAACTGACCGAAAACAAGTCTTGGTTCCTCAAAAAGGGAAAACACAAGAATGACCATATGACCCAACAATTCTATTCCTATGTGCGTACTGGAAAGAACTCAAAAGTTAGTTTAAAAAAAAAATGCATGGTAGCATTACTCGAATTGCCAAAAGGTGGGAATGATCCAAGCGTCCACCACTGGGTGACAGTGTAAAGCTAAATGTGGTCTATCCATACATGGACTATGATTTGGTCATAAAAGGAAATGGAGTACTGACACATGCTACAACAGGGAAGAACCTTGAAAACGTCATGCTAAGTAAAGAAGCTATTTGCAAAAGGCCACATGCTATACGATTCCATTTATGTGAAACACCCAGAACAGGCAGATTTTATAGAGACAGGAAGCAGGCAGTGCCGTGCTTAGTCAGTCGTGTCCGACTCTGTGCGACCCCATGGCCTGCAGCTCACCAGGCCCCTCTGTCCATGGGATTCTCCAGGCCAGAATACTGGAGTGGGTTGCCACGCCCTCCTCCAGGGGATCTTCCCAACCCAGGGATCAAACCCAGGTTTCCCACATTGCAGGCAGACTCTTTACCATCTGAGCTACCAGGGAAGCCTAAGAATACTGGCGTGGGGAGCCTATCCCTTCTCCAGGGGATCTTCCCAACCCGGGAATCGAACAGGGGTCTCCTGCATCACAGGTAGATTCTTTACCAGCTGAGCTACCAGGGAAGCCCAGAAAGTAGGCCAGTAGTTGCCAGAAGCTGGGGGAAGAAAGGAGTGGGGAGTCACTGTTTAATGGGTGTGGGGTTTCCTCTTGGAGCAATGAAAAAGTTCTGGAACTGCATAGAACTGATGGTTGTATGACACTGTATACGTACTTAATGCCAATGAATTGTACATTTTACAACGGTTAAATTAGTAAAAATGATAAATCTCACATTGTGCATGTTTTGTGTGGTGTGTTAGCGCTCAGTTGTGTCCGACTCTTTGCAACCCCATGAGCTGTAGCCCACCAGGCTCCTCTGTCCATGGAATTCTCCAGGCAAGAATACTGGAGTGGGTTGCCATTCTCTTCTCCAGGGGATCTTTCCAACGCAGGGATCGAACCCTGGTCTCCTAAACTGCAGGCAGATTCTTTACCATCTAAGCTACCGAAAAAAACCAAAAACCTCCCAGGGTAACTGGAATCCACCATTTATCATTAAGAGAGAGTAAGACCAAAGGGAGGTCTGCCTGGCAAAGAAAGAAAGGAACAGAAGAGGCACACAGCAATCTATGTTTTATCACCTGTTTCCGCTCGCAGAGAATGACCGATACGGGGAGTGTGGGTGCAGCGCACACCACAAATATATTCCTGACTCAACAAACCACAAAACAAAGGCCATTATAGAAACCCAGGCTGCTGTTGGCCCTGGGATCTGAAAAAGCTGGGTTCTCATCACTGATAAGATGAAGGAGGAACGGACTTAGGAACTTTTCAGAAAAAAAAAAAAAGACCCTGACCTTGTTTACTCCAGAAGCTTTGGTAAGGGTTGGTTCAGCTCAAAGATTCAAGAGTAAGGTGGCCTCCTCGCAGGGTCGTGAAGTTAGAACAGGTTTGGGCCACGGGGCACAGAGGGGAGGTGCCCGTACTGGTCTTTCCTCTACTTGTCCCCAACCCCCAGCTCCAAGAGAATCTGATCAAGCACAGGAAGATGACTACAGGCTCAAAATACGAGAGAAATAACAAGTACAACATTGGCTTGGATTGCAGCAGAAGATTAAAAAATGTGTTTGTATTCATGACTTAAAAAAAAAAAATCATAGTCTGACTCCTTGTTTTTCTGACTCCTTAAAAGCAACCATATTTTAGTTTCCCCACTAGAGTATTAAATAGACACATCTTATGATCCTATTACAAATGAAAACAGATCCACACTGACAAGTGGAGGACTTTTTAAATAAGTCTTCCACAGCATAAGTCCAATTTCAAAGTCAACTAAAAAGAAATGTCACGAAAAATGAACCCAAGGCTGTTTCTGAAAAATGCATCTTCACAGCTTATTTACAGGAAAATTCTGACCACAGTTTTGTTTTGTTCAGCAAATGTTTACTGAATACCTACTTTAAGGCTGCTGGAGAGGAAATGAGTAACTCTACTTTGCCCAACCCACTCACCTGGGTATAATTCATATCAACTGCATTTATAGCTGTAACTTAATCCAACCATCTAGGGCGGGGGTCTAATTCAATGAAATACCAGAGCAGACCCAGAATATCTTTCTTTAACCAAGACTGGCAGTCTGGCAAAATGTTCTACATTCAGCAGTCACTCAAATAATTGCAGAAGAAATTAATAAACTGGAAAAATACTAGGGTCAGGAAAGACTTTGCTTAAAAAAAAACTGTAGAATACATGTAAACCCATGGCTAATTCATTTCAATGTATGACAAAAACCACTGCAATGATGTAAAGTAATTAGCCTCCAACTAATAAAAATAAATGGAAAAAAAANCTCGTAGAGCTCATCCAGCTCCATCACGTCTGGCCGCACGCACAAGGCTTTGCCGCACTCGTTGGGCTGGTAGAAAGGCTGGAAGTACCGGTTCATGCCTGGAACTGAGGGGAGAAGCAAAGGAGTAAATCTCACAGGCTGTAAATTCCAAGTCTGGGTAAGTGTTAGTCGCTCAGTCATGTCCGACTCTTTGCGACCCCATGGACTGTAGCCCGCCAGGTTCCTCGGTCCATCGGATTCTCCAGGCATGAATACTGAAGTGGGTTGCCATTTCGTTTTCCAGGGGATCTTCCCGACCTAGGGATCAAACCTGGGTCTCATGCATTGCAGGCAGATTCTTTACTGTCTGGGCCACCAGGGAAATCTGGGTAAGCAGAAGAGCAGAAAGAAAACAAGCCAGAAAGGAGGGCCCAGACAAGCTTCCCGGTCTGTCCTACGTAAATGCTTCCGCTTCCTCTGTCCAATTAGACCTGCTAGGTGGAAATTAAAAAATATTTCCCCATTCTTTCTTCACAAATTCAACTTCTGTGGCACAGAAATTTAAAAAAAATTTTTGTTAAAGAAAAACATGTGCTATAAAATCTGCCATCTTAATCATGTTTGAGTGCCGCTGCTGCTGCTAAGTCCCTTCAGTCGTGTCCGACTCTGTGCGACCCCATAGATGGCAGCCCACCAGGCTCCCCCATCCCTGGGATTCTCCAGGCAAGAATACTGGAGTGGGCTGCCATTTCCTCCTCCAATGCATGAAAGTGAAAAGTGAAAGTTAAGTCACTTAGTCGTGTCCGACTCGTAGCGACGCCATGGACTGCAGCCCACCAGGCTCCTCCATCCATGGGATCTTCCAGGCAAGAGTACTGGAGTGGGGTGCCATTGCCTTCTCCTTTGAGTGCTAGATATTCACATTGTTTCTCAACAGATTTCCAGAATGTCTTCATCTTGCAATCTGTGGTGTTGCAGAAGACCTTGAGAGTTCCCCTGGACAGCAAGGAGATGCAACCAATCAATCCTAAAGGAAATCAAGCCTGAATATTCATTGAAAGGACTGATGCTGAAACTGAAGCTCCAATATGTTGGCCACCTGATGTGAAGAGCCGACTCACTGGAAAAGACCCTGAGGCTGGGAAAGATTGAAGGCAGGAGGAGAAGGGGGTGACAGAGGATGAGATGGTCGGATGGCATCATTGACTCTATGGATGTGAGTTTGAGCAAAGTCCAGGAGACAGTGAAGGACAGGGAAGCCTGGTGTGCTACAGGCCACAGGGTCACAAAGAGTTGGACATGACTTAGCAACTGAACAACAACTTCATCTTGCAAACCTGAAATTCCAAACCCAACCGAATGCCAAATCCCCATGGAAATGTATCTTAAAAGAAACTATTATTGAAGTTTTTCTGATTAGAAGACAGGCTCACAGAAGTAAATAACCAATCACTAACCCCTGATAATCCTTGAGTGGTGTTAAACCCAGACTAACCTACGTTCTGCCTCTATGAAAGAAAGAAAAAAAGCCAAAAAAATGCACTGAAAAGGGTTTTTTTTCCTACCTGCTTTTCAAGAACACTGTCCCATATCATTAAACATGACTTCCATGCACATACAGTGCTTTCTTATTTATTATCTACTCCCCTATTTCTGGGCATTTTTATTTTATTCAATTATTTCACTACTATAAACACCACACATCTTTGGACTTACTTTTGATAATCTTCCATAATTTAGGATAAATTCCTACATCCAAAGAGGATTTGATTCACACTGCCAAACTGCCCTTCATATATGTACACACCAACTAATTAGTGTCTGAGGGCCTGTTTCATTCCACCTTCGTTAACACTGGGATTTATCACTTCCGTTGTGATTTTGACCACATCTCGACTTTTGGAGGGTCCAGTGCTACTAGTTAAAACCTTAATAAAAGGCCACAATGTAAAAATCCACTTGCACCAAAGATGAAGTTGGTTAGTGCGCAGGAGATGATCTAGAATTCTCACTCGTACACCGAGATTTCTGACGGAGAATTTTTTAAATCCCTTGAAAGTAAACAGTCATCAGTCAGCTTGCCTTGACCTGAAGTTTTTTCAAGAGTGGGTCGTTTTGACTGTAATTATCAATGGCATAATTAGAAGCAGAATGACTCAAAGAGAAAAAAGAAAGGTGGCTCATCGAGTCAAAACTTTCTTCTGGCATGCCAGAGTGAGTAGGCACTATCATCAAATTACGCAGCTATCCAACTTTCAAAGAAATGCTCATTAAACTCCGTAGGTACAATTCCTAGAAAAGTGTTACAGGCGTTCCCAATGATTAAAGGAAAAATTAACTAATGTATACAAATAATATGAGTGATCCACAGTAAAACCAGATTCATGAAATAATGAGGTTCTCGGTATCAAGTGAACACATTTAAAACAAACAAACAAAAAAACCATCTTTTCCATTCTGCTCACCCACACATTTCCAGGGCAAGGTAGGGGAGGGAAGGCAGGGAGGGCCAGGCCCAGCGCTCACCCAGCACAGAAGGGACCGCCTTGGGGTGCTCCAGCTTCCCGGGGCTGGCGTCGCTGGCCACGCGGTGCGTGCTGGTGCAGGATGGACTCATGCCCACGCAGTCTGGGTAGTAGGCCGAGAGCAGGGGAGCAGCCACGCTGTCTTTCAGCAAAGGAGGTAAGATGAGCATGGAGTACCACCAGTGGTTGGACACTTCCGACACTCTCTGCAAGGGGGCAGAGCAAGACAAACAGGGACAATGGCGGACAAGAAACAGACATGCAGGGTCCACCAAGGACAGAGGGTTCTCGTTCTGTCATTCATTCTCATTCATCCTCCACCCTTGTCCTGTGCCTTTGCTCAGTCCTAGGCCAGAGTCCTGCACAGGCAGACTGAGAAATAAAGACCCCTGATGAAATCTGGAGAGCATGTTTCTTAAGCCGAGTTCCTTCAGATCAACAGCAAGAGGTCTCCCTTTCCCCCCGGGAAAAAACTCCACCAACACCAGGTTAAGTCTTTTTTTTTTTTCTGGCTGCGTCCTGTGGCATAAGGGATCCTAGTGCTTGACTAGGGATCAAAAGCATGCCCCCTGCATTGGGAGCACAGAGTCTCAGCCACTGGACCACCAGGGAAGTCCCAACATCAGATAAGTCTTGATGGTGCCTCCACTGACTCTCCAGGAAGCCTAGGTTTGTTTAAGTCTGACACGAGGAACTTCCTTCTGTTCAGGAATCATGTATCACTTGGCCCTTCCCCCTTTTAACTTAGGATCTAAAGCTAATGGAAACTGCAAAATTCAGCAAAAAAAAACAAAAAAATTCTCTGAAACAGCAGTCAAATATTACTGCTTTTTGCCAGAGGTTACGAAAAATTTTTTTCAGAGGGAAAAATACATGACAATCAGCAAAATAAGATGCTCCATGTAGACTGAAGAAACTATTTTTGGTCTTAAAATATGTGATCATATTCCAGATTTTGAATTAACATATGGAGTCATTCGATCAAAGCAGCCTGGTGATGACTGTTGTGATAAAAATAAAATTTACCTGCTTCTAAAGCAACACTCCAGAAATCTATACGAGGCAGATTTTGCTAAACATGATCTTGAATGTATGCTTCAGGAATTCCAGGAATCTAATAAAGAAGAACCCTGGGCTCGGGAACCCTCTTGATGTTAGTTCTCCAGTCTCCAAGCAAATGCCACCTGCCATCAAGCTGTGGTTTATGAATTAAAGATGCATTATTTGCCCTTCAGATTTCAGAGTCCAAATCTCAGGCAAGCATTTTCTCAGCTTACTACAAGCCCCAACATCCCTTATAAATTATTCCCAGCTGGTTCACACTTTCTTTTCTTTTTTTGATGCAGACCTTTTTTTTTTTACTTACTAAATCTGCTACAATATTGCTTCTGTTATATACCTTTTGTTTTTTTGGCCATGAGGCATGTGAGATCTCAGCTCCCTGACCAGGGGTCGAACCCCCACCTCCCTTCGCACTGGAAGGCGAAGTCTTAACCACTGGACCACCAGGAAAGTCCCTCACACGTTCATTTTACTTGCCTGGCCCCTGATAGCTTTTCTGTTTGCAATCTTTGTCCTCGAGGCTTGTTTTAGGTGTGGCTACCCTTGACCAGCCTGCGCTGGACCAACAAGAAGGAAAGTTCCATTTCATAAACCTGCCCCAGAGTCTTTCTTAACTGAAGACAAAAATAAGTAACTGGCATATGAACATCCAGGGACTTTTGGGAACTTTTTGAGGTTCTTTTATCCTAAGAATATGGCCTCTGTCCTAAAGTTCAGATTCCTTGAGAGCACAATGGTCTGAACACTAGGGGAAATATTCATAAAGTAATTTTTTAAACTGTATTTAAAGTTATTTTTTCCTTTGTTTCTATAATGTCATCTCATTTACCCTGAATCCAGAAATTATTTGGGCCACTGCTTTAGTGTAGAAATGTTTGAGGTACAGTTATTTATTTATTTTAATGTGGCTGTATGTGTGTGTCTCACATAGCCCTTTATGTAACAGAACAGACATGCCAGGGGTCAGTTCTCCCTCTGCCTGAACATCAATCACATTCCCTGAGTTTCACATCTAGAAAAACCACAAACTAACAATCTGAATCACTGTCATGCATAATAACTCAGAAACTCATAATTTAAAAAAAAAATCATCTTCTGAAATAGCCGTTGGATCTGGCTCTGTGGCAAAACCAGTCAGCTCAGGGAGCAAAGTTTCCTAAGACAAGCGACACGTGGCGAGGCTCTGCCAGCTGCTGCCCCTTCCACATCTGGGCAGAGACGGGACAAAGCAGTTACACTGAGGTCAGAATAACACGAGAACCCTCTCACAGCTGAATCTGGGCCAAGACCATCAAATTATGGGCCTCTTGTTCATTTCCTGGAACGATTCAAGTGGCGAGAAGGTCATAAATTCCCCCCTGGAAAACAAGTATAACAAGTCTGATCCTTGTAGGAAGGCACGGCGTCAGTTTCTGCCTTTTTATTTCCTTTAAATATAAAACAATAAAATTTTAGTGTTTTTTTTTCAAGTTGGGTGAGGATCATTCATAACACCATTCCTGCTAGCATTTTCATCACATAGTTACCACGTGAGATTAAAAAGCCTTTGATCAGCAACCAAATAGACACTCATAACATTGTTACTGTGTTTTACTTATCATACTTATCACTGAAAGTGTGATGCAGGCTAATCTGAAACGTGTAGAAATACTCACTAGATCCTCTGGGAGGGAACAATGGTCTGAGGTCTCAGGCTGCAAAAACAAGACAAAAAGTATTAATTAAGTTTAATTATAAAATATAGTCTTTTTTTTTTTTCAAAGATTCATTGATGTGGACCATTTTTAAAGTCTTTATTGAATGTGTTATACCATTGCTTCTGGGTTTTTTGGCCTCAAAGAATGTGGGATCTTAGATCCCTGACCAGCACTCAAATGTATACCCTCTGCATTGAAGGTGAAGTCTTAACCACTGGATCACCTGGGAAGTCCCTAAAATACAGTCATAAGTGTCAGTTTACCTTTAATAAGATACCTCTTTTCATCACTTAGATTGGAAAAGAGAAAGTGTGATAAAACACCCACATGAGTGAGAGTGTGAGGAAGACAGCTCCTCTTGCAAGAATGTCCTCGGTGGCAACCTACAACAATATGTAATAATCTGGAGAACAATCTGACAAAATATGAGACCTTTAAATGCATGATAATTTGGCATTATCTTGTATAACTGAAGATGTACATGCTATGATCAGTTCTACATCCACAAATTCAGTCAGCCTCGGATTAAAATATATTCAAAAACACTGCAGAAAGTTCCAAAAAGTAAAATCTGAATTTGCCGTGCACCAGCAACTATTTATATAGAATTTACATTATATCAAATATTAAAAGTAATCTACAGATGAACTAAAGTACACGAGAGGATGTGTGTAGATTACATGCAATACTATGCCATCTTATACAAAGGACTTGAGCATCTTCAGATTTTGATACCTGCAGGGTCCTGGAATCAAGCCCTGCAGATATGACTGCATTATGCCCAACAATTCTAGTCTTGCTATACAGACATATCTCAGAGACATCGTGGGCTCAGTTTGAGACGAACCATTGCAATAAAGCAAGCGTCACAATAGAAGTGACTCAAAAGAGTTTTTTGGTTTCCCAGTGCATATAAAAGTTATGTTTACACTATACTGTAGTCTATTAAGTGTGCAATAGCTTAAAAAAAAAAAAACCTGCACATACTTTAATTAAAAAACACCTCAGGGACTGCCCTGATGGTCCAGTGGTTAAGAATCCGCCTGCCAACGCAGGGGACAGGGGTTTGCTCCCTGGTCAGGGAAGATTCCACATGCCTTGGGGCAACTAAAGCCAGTGTGCTAAAACTACAGAGCCCAAGTGCCCCAGAGCCCCTGTGCCAAAATGAAGACTCAGCACAGCCAAAAATAAATAAATAAATAAAGTAAAAATACTTTATTGCTAAATATGCTAACCATCATCTGACCATGCAGAGTTGTCACAAAGTTTCAATTTGTAAAAAAATGCATATCTGTGAAGCGCAAAAAAGCGAAGTGCAATAGAACAAGGCATGACTGTTACTTTCGGGAGAGACGCTCGTCCACATGGCACCAAGAAAAGGATTAGAAAATGCTCGAAGAAGCATAGTTTGTAAGAGAGAAAACCTAAACACAAACCAGAAGTCCATCAAGAGGAGAAGGCAGAAACAAACTGTACTACAGTCAAACAATGGTAGGGCAATGAGAGTAAACTGCAACACACATCACAGCATGGATGCACCTTCCAAACATGACAGTGAGTTGAAAGAAGCCACACCCAAAAGCATGCATATTGTATTATTCCATTTACATAAAGTTCAACAGGAAGCAACATCCACAGTGTTGTAAGTTGGAAGGGTAAGTAGGGACCTATAGCCACACCACCCTGAAAGCTCCTTTCCTCTCTGATCTCAGAAGCTAAGAGGGGTCAGGCTGGTTAGTATTTGGATGGGGAAGAAGAGGAAGTTAAGTAGTTACTCTGGGCAGGGGGAAGGGATGGACTCTTTAAGTGAAAGGTGGTGCAAGGGTGCTTCTGAGAGGCTGGTCAATTTCTTTACTGTTCAGTTGAGTTCAGTTGCTCAGTTGTGGTGACCCCCATGGACTGCAGCACGCCAGGCTTCCCTGTCCATCACCAACTCCTGGAGCTTGTTCAAACTCATGTCCATTGAGCTGGTGATGCCATCCAACCATCTCATCCTCTGTCATCCCCTTCTCTTCCTGCCTTCAATCTTTCCCAGCATCAGGGTCTTTTCCAATGAGTTGGTTCTTCGCATCAGGTGGTCAAAGTTTAGGAAGCATCAGTCCTTGCAATCAATATTCAGGGTTGACTCTTTTCAGATTGACTGGTTTGATTTCCTTGCTGTCCAAGGGACTCTCAAGAGTCTTCTCCAGCACCACAGTTCAAAAGTATCAATCCTTTGGTGCTCAGCTGTCTTTACTGGGACCTGGCTAAATGTGGACTCTGAAAATTCACTGAGCTATGGCATTTTGACTTGTGTGCTTTCTGTTTGTATATTTCAATTTAAAAAGTTACCTAAATAAACTGAAGATTGGCATACCATATCATCTGGGAAATCTAGCCCTTGGAATATATTCCAGAGAAACTCTTTGCACGTGTGCACAAGGAAAACTGGAACAGGAAATGGCAACTACTCCAATATTCTTGCTGGAGAATTCCATGGATAGAGGAGCCTGGTGGGCTACAGTTCACGGGGTCGCAAAGAGTCGGACATGACTGAGCGCAGCACAGGAGAGACATGAAAGAACAAGAGAGCCCCAAACTAGAAAAAACCCCCACACACCTATGAACAAGAGAACAGACACGCTAAGGTAGATCCACAGCTAAATTACACAGCAGGGACAAGTAATGACTCAGAGCTGCAGGCATCAACACGGAGGCAACTGAAAAGCCTCAGTGTTAAGGAAAAGAAGAAAGCTGCAGAAGAACGCAAACAACAGGGTACAATTTCCAACCAACATAAAATATGCAAAACTTCACATGTTATTTAGGGTTTCATACATATGTATCAACTCAAAAACAAAAAGCAGAGGAATAATAAATACGAAATTTGAAATAGTGCTTGCTCTTGCAGGAGAGGCAGAGGAAGACAACCACTGCGAGGCACCTCGGGAGTTACGGAGGCACCGGTCACGCTCTGTTTCTAAAGCTGGGTGTGAGGACACGGTGAGTGTTCAACTTTATTCTTTACCCCTTACACACAAGTTATACATCCTCTTGTGGGTCTAAGGATTATTTCAAATTAAAACAGCTTGATAGGACTTCCCTGGAGGCACAGAACATAAGAATCTGCCTGCCAATGCAGGGGACACGGGTTCCGTTCCTGAGCTGGGAAGATCCCACATGTCTCGGAGCAGCCAAGCCCGGACGCCAGGGCTCCTGAGTCAGAATTCTAGAGCTCACGAGCCACAACCACTAAGCCCGTAGGCTGCAACTACTGGAGCCCGTGGGCCTCAGCCCGTGTCTGCAACAAGGGAAGCCACTGCAACGCGAGCGAGGCCCTCGCATTGCGATGAAGACTAGGCCCACTCACCACTACTACAGAAAGCCTGCACACAGCAAGGAAGATCCAGGCCAGCAAAAATAAAAATACATAAATAAAACTGGATATGCTCTTTGACAGTAATGTTATTTCTCAGAATGGATCCCACAAATACACTAAAAACCAGCATAGGCATGAAGCTATTCACTACACTGACGCTAAACGTTTAAATGTCACCTAAATGCCCTTCGACCACGTCAAATTCATCACAATCTATCCATTCAGTGGACTATGTACTATACAGTCTTTATAGGAAAAGAGATCTCTATGCACTGAGACGGAAGCATCTTCAAGATATATTAAATGACAAAAAGTGAGCTGCAAACAGTGTGCATTGTTTGCTACCATTCTTTGTAATGTTTTACAAATAATCCTTTCCAGACTCTGTCCTTGACAGAGGACCAAGCTGAAAACCAAAGGGACTCTGAGTCAATAAACACCATTTAAATAAATATTTCAAAAGTTGAGGCTATAGACGGTAATCAATCAGAATGGAGCTAGAGGATCTCAAGGGAGGATTTCTTGGGCAGAAGGGATTTAAAAGATAAGATACCATCCTTAGAGGCTATGATCACTCTGAGCTATACTTCTTTAAACCTTTAAAGAGTAGTTTAGATATTTGTTTCCAGTGCTTTAAAAAAAAAGTGCCCTACCATAAATACATAATGAGAGCATAAAGAAAGTTCCAGTAGCATAAATGAATCATTAAGAGTTGTTATCTATCAGAGTGGGAAGAAAGAGATGGTTTAAAGGGGACTTTCATTTTTTTATTTACATATTATGTGTGTGCATGTACTTACATATGCACACATATGTTCAATTCACTTTTTTAAACTTAAGGTTATATTTACGTAATGCTTACGTAAAATTTAAAACTATAGAAAACAGAACTCCTAAATATTCATACCATTTTTCTCACCAGTTTACTTTGCAAAATCTTACAAGTATACTTATAATAATTATGAGCCACTTCAATAATATTTGTATCTTAAATCCCAGGCTTTGAAAAACTTGATCATAAACTTTATAAAGCTTTTCCAATGTTTCTCATTCATTCTTTAAAGCAGAATTTGAACTAAGAAAATATTTTGCTGGTGATAAATGCATATCTGTGAATATATTAGTACCACAAACCACTTATATATATAAGTATAAACTTATATACTTTAAGAGGGTGAATTTTGTGAATTAAGCTATGTGAATTAAGTCAAAATTTTCAGAAAGGAAAACCATCTTGCATCTGAGATTACAATTCCGAATATTCTTTAATGTACTGATAAAACAAGACACACTCTATAGATGAATGCTTTAACACTTTGAAGCAATTAGCACATTTTTCAACGCTAAGCAATTGTCAGATCTCCAAAGAGGCACAATATACCAATTAAGAAAGACTGCTAATAGCCCAAACATAGGGTTATTGTCATTCAGTTGCTAATTCGTGTCCGACTCTTTGCAAACCCATGAACTGCAGCATGCCAGGCTTCTCTGTCCTTCACTATCTCTCGGCATTTGCTCAAACTCCTGTCTACTGAGCCCAAACATATATATTCATCCTTCACTCTTTATTAACAGGATCCTAATTTTGATGCTGCTACAAAAGATTTCCCTCCAGTTATAAAATATAAAACATGCAACAGTTATGGAGTATCTTCTTCCTTTGTCACCACTGTTGTTCAGAGTAGCTGTGAGATCCTACCCTGGCCGAAGAGCTATAAATAGAAATCTACTGTTGGAACTTCCAGGAAAGCTCCTGGTTTCCCAGTAAAAGGAGGAGAGACTTGGCTTATGATACTCCAGCCTTTCCCATCTTTTCTACTTTGAACTTGGAATGATGGCTGACAGTGCAGTAATGATCTTGTGAGAGAGCTGGCAACTAGAAGGAGAATTCCCTGGGCAACTATACCAACTCTGGACCGCCTGCTTCTAAACTGTCTATAATGAGAGAAAAATAAAAGCCTTAATCAGTTAAGCTATTGTAGTGGAGGTTCTCTTATACATGGGATAGTACCATCCTGACACAATGATCAATACGATAAAGGAAAAATATACGTCATTACTACCGACTGACAACTAAACTAACCCAACAATTAATTCAAACAGAAAACCAAAGACATCTTACCTTAACAGCAGTATTTGGTTTCATACCACAACGGTAGGTCTTTGCTATCTGGGGAGTCAGCTGGATCTCCTTGGTAAGCTGCCTCCATTTCCTACACTCAGGTTTGGTACATTGAACCTAGATGGAAAGTAAGAAGTCAAGGGCAATGAGTTGGTACCTCTCGAGCGAGCATTTCTTCTATCTCTTCCTTGGCCATCTCCTCCACATGATCTGGGTTAACAAAGGTTCAGCATCAAATGCATGAGGTTAAGTGAAAGAAGCCAAATGTAAAAGGTCACATACTGCCTGATTCCTTTATATAAAGCATCCAAAATGGTAAATTCATTGAGACAGCAGATTAGTGGTTGCCAGGGGGTGGGGGTAGGGAGGAATGGGAGGTGACGGCTGAATGGGCACAAGTCTCCTTTGTGGATGATGAAAATGTCCTGGAAATAGATATAGGTGGGGATTGGACCACACTGTGAATGTACTGAATGCCACTGAGTTGTACACTTTAAAACGGTTAATGAAAAAAACTTTTTAAACTTGTTTTTTAATTGGAGGATAACTGCTTTACAATGTGTTGGTTTCTGCAGTACAACAATGTGAATCGGTCAAAAGTGTGTGTGTGTGTTCTTCCCTCTTGAGTCTCCCTTGTGAATTTTTTGTGAATTTAGAGTTATGTAAATCTCACTTCAATTAAGAAAAATTTTTAAGGGATGCAGAGAAAAGCTCAAATTACCTATAACATTAAATAAATTAGCAAATAATTTTTTTTGCAAATAATTTATTGAATGATGGTATACTTATATATACAATCACTAAAGTGTGTTTTCAAAGAATGGCTAAATAGAAAAAATAAAGTTAAATTAATTTAAAAAAACTAAAAAAGCTACTAAAAACTTACATGCAAAGCATGATTCTAAACCTAATTAGGATTTGCATACAAAGCGTGAAACTGTGTTTAAATAAACACAGAAAAACACGAACAGAAAAAAAGAAGAGAGATATGGACCAAACTTAGCAATGGCTATCACCAGCTGGCAATGAGTCTAGTTTCTTCTTTATACTACAGGTCAAGTTAGGTGATTTTTCCACAAAAATAAAAAATTCCTTTAGTAGTTACAGAAAGAATAAATGGAATTAAAGAAAACTTTCCTAAAAATTGGAATTTTCATCCATTTCTTCTGCATTTAATGCTACAAATGCTTTTGCTATTGTTTAGTTGCTCAGTTGTGTCCAACTCTTTGTTACCCTGTGGACTGTAGCTTGCGAGGCTCCTCTGTCCATGAGATTACCCAGGCAAGAATGACTGGAGTGGGTTGCCATTTCCTTCTCCAGGGGATCGTCCCGACCCACAGATCAAAGCCCTGTTTCCTGCTTGGCAGGTGGACTCTTTACCCTGGAGCTACCAGGGAAGCCCTACAAATGCTTCACAAAATAATACAGTTTTATCTTTTTTACCCAGTAGGGGAGCTGCTGGTCTGCCATGAAAGCTTTGGGACTAGGTTCAGTTTTTCCATTGCTTGTCCATATTTTTTTCCATGTAGTATATTTGTCATATCCATCCTTATGGCTGAAAAACAATAAAAATAAATACATCAAACAATAAGCTATTCAGGTTTTCAAAACAGGAGGCAGATAGAAATCTTATGTGAAGGACTTAACTAGCCATATTATAAGTGGGGAGGGGTAAGTTATCATAGCACACATAAAACAGGTTGCATTTCTAGTATCTAAAACTATCAAGAAGGGAAGGTTACCTGTCTGTCCAGCACCCTCTGTCAGAATCCCCCACAAAATCTTTTCATTCCTGCCCCTTTGCATTGGCAAAGAAGAGCAAAGCAACTCCTAAATTCTTCAGAATTTGTGAACTACAGAGAGTAACTGTCTCATGGCAGATGCTTTCTCAGCTCTGAGTGTGCACACACAAGCATACACACATGCAAACTACAGCATCAAAGTTCTGGCACACCTGTAGTCAGCCCAGGTATGGAGGAAACAGTGAAATAATTCAGTAACCCGGGGAGGGGGCTGCTTAACCATCTGACCCCCTCCACTGCCCACTGCCCAAGCCACCATCCCTTCCACCCCAGAAAACTCCAACAATTATCAGAACAAACCTTCTGTAGTAATGGTCAAAGCATTCATTACAGAAATGCTCCCCACAGGAGAGGTGATACCATCGGGATGTGTAGCCATTTTTGGCACATCTGAAAATAGCAAAAACAGATAGCTTTGGTAACAAATAAACACTTCTCAATTTTTTTTTGAACATTTATCAAAGACCTCCTAGGAGCCCATTTTGCCTTATCTTCACTTAGAATCTTAATCACCAGGAGATTACAACAGAAGAAATGGAATTGTTGATTGGCACAGAAGAATGCATGGGGAAGACACAGGGACTTAGATCAGTGGTACCCAGCTGCCTGCTCATCAAAAGGGCCTGGTCTAATTTTATCAGGACTCCAGGGAGTGATGATAGGGTTTTGTTTGTTTTTTAGTTGGAGGCTAATTACTTTACAATATTGTAGTGGGTTTTGTCATACACTGACATGAATCAGCCATGGATTTACATGTGTTCCCCATCCCGATGCCCCCTCCCCTTGATGACAGGGTTTTAGGACATGATAGACGGGATGGCCGTGGGCTTGCGGCATGTGTGTGAAGGAGGGAAGTGTGGTCTCTAGTAGCAACATCTGGAAAGCTGGGATTGGACCATCCTGGGGGCAATCTGGCAAACAAAACCTGCCACGCAGCCAATAATGTAGCAAAAGAATGAACTATAAAGCCACTATGAACACTACCACCACCACTTCTTTGTGATTTAAAAAAAAGAAAGAAATTGTTTTCCAGGTTTCATTAAATCTTAACTGAAGTTTTTTTCCACTGGAAGTAAAAGGTCATGCCTGGATCATCCCAACAAAAATGGCAAGAGTGCAGTTAGCTACGTAGTTTGAATGAGCCCTGTATGTATCTTTGGAGGAGGAGGTATGGTGTAAGATGGAGAAAAGCAACCCAGAGAAATAAGCAAACATTGGTCTCTGTAGGAAGCTCAAGGTTCTCTCTACTCCCCCCTCACCTCCTACCCCATTGCATCCTCAAGCTATACCCCCATTCCCGACCATCAGAGGTACAACTCTGGGGGATGCGACGTGAGCACAGGGGGTTGGTCACTGTGCAGAGCTGATACAGGCCGTATCAGCTAGTAGGGAGTGAATAGCGGGGTACAATGTGTACAAAATGTACCGGCAATGTCTCTACTGCAGGATAGCGGTATCTCTATGTATCTTTAGGAAGGCTATCTTTGAAGATGAATGGGCTCATTGGCAAGAAGGTGAGGCCAAGACACGCTGTCTAAACAGACCTTTCAGAAGTACTTGCAAAGCACACAGGACACGTGGCCGTACAGCCTGCTTTTTCACATTTCCTGTACTTTTTCTCTGACCCACCGTCTTCATCCTCATCCGTCGTCTCCGGGGCCTTTTTCTTCGCCTGAGAAAGAACCAGCTGAGGTTGAGATCAACACTGGCCACGGCCCAGGGTGGAGGCGGTGGGATATTTACTCCTGAAATCACTTCCAGGTTAGAAGTTCTAAGTGTGAAGATCAACAGCATCCTGGTAGTAGGGTAGGGGCTGACGATAACAGCAATTTCCTTGAGACTGTATTGTGCAAACAATTCACTAATCTGCTAGAAATTTGGAACCAGCACTTCGACAACAGGTCTCTGAGTAGAGACCGAAAATGCATTCGAGTTTCTTTTAGGAAAAAGCTGTTTCAACTCTACTTCAATACTGATTATCTAACCCAGATAGTCTAACCAATAAAAAATAAAACAAAAATTCTTTATGCTGTATCATAAAAAATGAAAGCCACTTTCAAAAAAAATGAAAGCCACTTTCAAATTAAGATTGTTCTCTTTGCTTAGAGAAGTTCTATCCTCTCAGTATTGTAGATTTAAAAACTACAATAAAAATCTGTAGACAAATTCTAGAGAAAGAATTACATCATTCAATATTTTCCTTTAAAAAAAAAAAGGCCCTACAAGAAAGATGGCAGCGAGTAAGCCACAAACAGTACCCAACCAACCATTACAAGCTGAGGTCTAAATTCCTATGAATGACATCAAGCCAAGCATGATCTGGCCCTAGCTCACATCCTGGAGGCAATCACACAGCTGAACACCCTGTGCTGATTCACAGCAATGCCTTTATCTCCTTCAGATAAGCTTTTTTTTCCTACACTCTATCACTTTATCACACTGGAAGTCCCAAGGTGAATTTTTCCACTAGACTGCAAGTTCCTTGAGGGCTGGAATTCTGCTCTTTCATCTCTAATTCTTCAGTCCCAATCACAGTAAGTTTGTTGGCTCAAAACAGGGTCAATGAATGAACAAATAAGCGATACCTGCCTACCGGAACTCCTCAAAGGAAGGCTATCTGGAGAATGATCAAAAGATGCTTTTTTCTTCGTTCTCCCCCGTGAGGTCGCCATTGTATCAGAAAATCTGTCAAAAAAAAAAAAAAACAAACCAGAAAACATTAAATAAGAGCATCTGCTAACACTTTCAACACTCTGGAATCAAGTTACTAAGTAGTTTTGGTGGTAAGAGTGCATGCCGTACAGTTAGATGGCCTGAGTGTGAAACCACTGCTTTCAAGTTATTTAAGCTAAGACTAAGCCTCAGCGTTCTCATATATAAAATGGGCACAACTAGTGTGTACCCTAGTATTGGTGTGAGGATTAAGTAAAATAATTGAAAGCACCAGGACCAGTATAAGTACTCAATAAATGTTACCCATTAGTAGTATATACATTTTACATATATACAGGAATGAATAACCTATAAACAAAAGACACTACTGTTTATAAAATTCAATGAATAAAAATATCTTATTTTTGTTTATGTTCCTCTCTTTCTCACTATGTCTTAGTTCCCAAATTTTGATCTATTTTACTTTAAAAAGTATACGGGCTTCCCTCATAGCTCAGTCAGTAAAGAATCTGCCTGCAATGCAGGAGACCTCAGTTTGGTTCCTGGGTTGGGAAGATCCCCTGGAAAAGGAAATGGCAACCTACTCCAGTATTCTTGCCTGGAAAGTCCCATGGAAACAGGACCTTGTAGGCAGGCTACAGTCCATGGGGTGGCAAGAGCTGGACATGACTTATTGACGAAACCACCACCCACCACCATACTTTAAAAAGAAAAAGCATTCATTCCTTCTCAGTAAAACCCAACAAATAAATCTCGAGTACGCTATCTGGTCACTACTGAATATAGGAATCTGGGTTAGGCAGTCACTGGACAAATTGAGTTCTCAAACTAGTTTCATCACAGCACAGTTAAAACATTAAGAATCAAAAGTCTACACAAAAACATAATGCATAAATCCATGAATGATTAAGACTTGTCATACTAGCATTTTTTTCAATTAACTTACATAAGGAATGAAAAATGCTTAGCATAACTAAGTACTGTTTAGTATAGGGATCCTACAGTTATCAGACATCTCCCTCCCTGATCTGTAATCAACTTTAAATATAATCACTTCACACACATACTCACAATAGCATGAGAAATAAATAGGACATACCTACAGATAAGCAACTGAAAGTGGAATTTGAAAGTGGAGAAGTGTTGTTATCTTAAGATACAAATCCCACATATATGATCCTAATCTTGGGTAAAAGCTTTGAAGGGCTTGTAATCCTATTGCTTCACTATAAACTGTGATCCTACTATTGACACTAACATTTGTAAGTGCACTTTTTATGGATTATGAACATCACATGTAAAAACTTTCAATCTGCCATCTACATCAACTTTGAGAAATCTTGACACCAGCGTTATGGATGGTTTTCCTTTGACTCAGTCTTCACTTTCTCAAAACCATTATGTTAGTATACAAACAAATATACTGTATACAGATTCTGAAATGCATTACAGCTCTTAGCCATTTAAAAAATTGCCATTAGTCCTACAGCACTCATTATGTAGCTGGATAAAGCACTAGTGGTTTTAAAAGTACTACTGTCTACCTTAATTCTTATACCCTAAGAAGGGCTCCTGGCTCACATTTTCAAAATAATTTACAATCTCTTTATGTAAAACATATAACCTACATTATTCATAAAATGAACCACAAATAGAGCATATGTAAACATGTACACTGTATATGTTAAGTATTGCAGCAAAAATATTTGAGTCTAATGTGCGGTTTAGGAATGCAAATAAAATCAGTTCAAGAAACATTTGACCGTGTTACCTGGGAATGCAAGCACTCTCAAAAGAAAGCATAATTTCTGGAAATTTCATCAAACATTGTAACCCAATTGTATACTGAAAAACATATTTTTGATTGCAAAAGAATGATGTAATCCAAGAAATGGTTAAGAGGAAATGAAAACATTAGCTATGAAAGCCGTTAAGAAATCTGTGTGGTCTGGGAAAAATACGATTGAAGATTTTCAGAGTAGTACATTTTCACCTTTAATTATACAATTAACAGTTATGTACCTTCATTCTTTTTTGACACTGTAATTTCTTTATTTTCACTGCTGCTGGGTTCTTGGGGCCTCAAATGGAGGAAAAAGTTTTAAGTTGGGAGGTCTACAGTTACTTATGCTTTTAAATATAATCTTAGAAATATTGACCAAGCGTTAGTAAAGCAAATTAGTATACTGGAAGTGCTTTTCCGCCTGGTTCTTCAAATTAATAAACACACCTAACTTTAAATATAATCAATTTGTTTCAGGTCCACTATGACCTTATAAGCATAGTTCTTCCTAATTTTAAATTCGTAGCTTTGGTTTTCTCTTAATATGACAAAAGAAAGGGAAAAATGGTTGGGGGGGTACCTAAAGATATGTGAATATATCAATGTCTAGATTTCTAGTTTAGTAAGTTCCAAGATTTTTTCAGAAGTAACTTATTCAAAAAACTTAAAAAAAAAAACCCACACAGAATCCATAAAAATATGAATTAAAGGACTCCAGGTTGGAATAAAAATGTATAGTTGCATTAGCATAATTTCCCGAAACTGGCCAAACTACTAGAAACTTCTCCAGAGACAACAGGAGCAAAAATTCCCCTTCGGGCCACTTAAAACTGCACCCCCAAGAATCAACTTTCAGACATATGGATCCAGTTCAATTGCCCGAACGCTTTGTTGACGACTTTCTCTGCACGGAGGATAATTAATTATTGATGGTCATTTTCTCCGGTACCTCCTGAAGAAAACCTTCCCTCCCACTCACCTTTCTTCCACTAAAGTCGGTTTAAAAAAAAAAAAAAACACCAACCAACCGGAGAGTAAGAGCCCTGAGCTGTGTGCGCAGAGGTGGAGTGACCGATCCCCCAGATGAAGTGGCCTGGACGCCTGCACGCTCTCCCGAGGGAAGGCCTGGCCTCCATCTGGCTAGGTTCCAGGTCACAGAACCCCCAACTCGCTACAGCTGGGCCTGTCTCTTCCTTCCTCTTTCACCTGCCGGCTGCTGGGCTGTTGACTAACAGTTACCGAAATCGGGCGGCCCCCTCGGGGTCTCGGGTCCCGGAGGAGTCACCCCAGCAACCTGGCAATGCCGATCGCCTCTTAACGCGTGGTGCCTGTGCCGCAGTCCAGCTAACAGCACCTGCGAGGCCGTACCGGCTTCTCGCCGCCACGCTCTCAAAGCCGGGAGGCAAGCGACGGAGTTCCAGCCCCCGGACGGTGGGTGCCCCCTTCCTCGCAGCAGCCTCTCCCCGGGTGACAGGGCTCTGACAGCCCCCAGGAGGGAGCCCCCAAAGGCTCCCTGTGCCAGCGGCAGCCGCCTCGCTTTCCGAAAAGCTCTCTCGACTCCTCCGAAGTCGAAGAAGCCGCAGCCTCCCCAGGCTCACCTTTGCGCTGGAGGCGTGCAAGGAAGGAGTCGCGGGGAGACGGCACCCCTGTACAGAAAGCAAACATTGTGGGGAGGGGGATTAACCCGCAACACCGCGAGGAAGCGGGGAAGCCGGTCGCTCCAACACCCCAGGCCAGGAATCCACCCCCCCGCCCCCATTCCTCGGGCTGGGACCCTCCCCCGCACCCCTCGCCCCTTTCCAACCTGGGGACGGAGGGAGAGCCCCAAGGGACTAGTCCACTTCCCACCCGGGCGAGGAGCGCGGCACAGGGGCAGGAGAGCTTGCACCCCGGCCAGGCTGCTTTGTGCAGAGCTGTCACCAGAAATCCGCCGCCGCCCCCACGCCCGCCCCCGGAGCCGCGCGTCCCCCCCGCCCCCCCCACCTGGGAGCGCGGGCGAGACCGAGCGCGCCGCCCCGGGCTGCGGGCGCCTCTCCGGGGCCGCGCGCCGCGCGCACAGGACAGCAGGATCCGCGCCGCGAGCCGCAGCCCCAACTCGGCCGCCGCCGCCGCCGCCGCTTCCGCCCCTGTCACGACGTGACCCGTGGTGGGAGGAGCCGGCGGGACCGGGGAGGAGCCGGGTCCCCGCCTTCGCCTCCGCCGCGCGGCTCGCCCCGCCCTGGCCATTTCCGCCGCTGCGCAAAGCCAGGCTGCCGGGGAGGGGGCGGGGTCTGTGCGCCGCGGGAGGGGCGGGCCCGGGGGCGGGGCTGAGCCGGGGGCGCGGGTCCACAGCCCAGGCGGACCCTGGGCAGAGCCAGAGTCAGCGGCCGGCGGGCGGACAGCACACGAGGTAGGGGCCGCTGGGCGCGGAGGAGGGTGCGGTGATCGGCGGGCCGTTTGCGAGTGTGAGTGTGTGATCGGAATCGGGAACGGGGCACCCCACCGTGCGCGCACCTCCCGGCAATCCGCTCCCTACCAGGGAGCCTGGTAGGAATGAGTAATGAATGACCTTTCTGAGTCCCTGATTAAAGGGACCTCCAAATCACTGTCGGGTATGGTTGATTTTAAGAAAATAGAAATACTTGCCAGAATAGTGAGGGATGCGCTGGGGGCGGGGAAGTGGGGGAAATGGGGTGTTGTAAATATCCTGTGTCTTGCTCCATGGTAGATGCATAGGTGTATGCATATGTAAAAGGAAATCACTGATCCACACTCTTAAAATTTGTGCACTTGAGTTTAAAATCTTCAATTTTAAATTTACTTCAGTTTTTTAAATTCTACAATTTACCAAAATTTTAAAATAAATTTACTGAATTTTACTAATTTTAATTTAGGAAAAAAAATTTTTTTCATTTATTTTTATTAGATAATTTAGGAAAATTTAACTTCAATTTACTAAATTTTCAATTTACTAAAATCTTAAATCTAAAGCAGAAACATGGTTTTATTGAAAAAGTGAGGAGGAAACTAGTCTTGGGAGAACACCCAAGGAGATTTGGGCACATCTGCTGTTTCTGTGTATGGGTAAGAATGATTGTGAAATTAGCCTTTCCTGATTCTTATAATTTTGCACTTTTATCTTGTTATAGAAAGAAATTTTTTCTTTCTCCAGAAAGGGACATGGACAAGTTAAGTACATGTTGAGAATCTATGAGAACAGCTAAGAATTGACTAAATTATATTCATGATACCAAGTCTGTGTGAGAGGGGTATGTGTGTCAAGTTGCTTCAGTCGTATCTGACTCTTTGCGACCCCGTGGACTGTAGCTCACCAGGCTCCTCTGTCCATGGGATTCTCCAGGCAAGAATACTGGAGTGGATCACCATTTTCTTCTCCAGGGGATCCTCCTGACCCAGGGATTGAACCAAGGTCTCTTATGTCTCCTGCACTGGTAGGCAGGCTCTTTACCACTAGCGCCAGCTGGGAGGAGATGTTGTTAGTCACTCAGTCGTGTCGGAGCTTAACTATTCCAGGCTGCGTTGCTCAGCCGTGTCCGACTCCTGCAACCCCATAGACTGGAGCCTGTCAGGCTCCTCTGTCCATGGGATTCTCCAGGCAAGAAGACTCAAGTGGGTTGCCATTCCTTCTCCGGGGGATCTTCCCGACCCAGGGATCGAACCCTGGTCTCCTGCATTGCAGGCAGATTCAAAGAGAATATTGCTTGTGTCAGTCAGATTCTTTACCAACTGAGCTACGAGGGAAGCCCAATAGGCTGCCCTTGTTCCATGATAAAATAATGCCTCCCTTTTAAGTAGAGAACTGTTTTAATCAGGCTCAAGTTCAGGTGTCAAAATTTGTGGCTGAAAATGGAAATGGGAAAACTACGACTCTCTTTTGCTTTTCTGTACCGATATAGTCAGATACTCCTCTCACCTCTCAGAAAACTCAAGAATCACCTCCTGACATGTCAGGGCCTTTCAAAAGCCATTTGTTAACAAATGTTTGCTGGAAAGTGATTTGTGTTCTTAACTCCAAGGGAGGTGCCTTCTCCTTTAAATCCTAAACACACTGAAGCCCAATTTGGTCATAAAGGGAACTTTTTCTTGAAGAACTTCTTTTCCGTGATGTTTGCTGTTCTCATAGATGAATCATTAACTCCACTGAAATTAGCCTGCTAGTGTAATCCAAACCAAATTAGTTTCACTAATGGTTCAAAGGATATATTAGAACTATTGTGTTGTATTGTCCTTACGTAACAAATTTCATATTGAAAAGACAGACCATCCACATAACTTCGGGTAGATTTGCAGTTATGTTCACATGTCTTTTTTCCTTAGTTCTCTTTGTAAAGGAAAAAAAAAAAAGGAACAAAGAGTATTGCTCATCATGCAGTTATACTAAGGGTTAAATTGCAACCCCCTGCAGAGAGTGATATTCCCTAAGTGTTTCAGGACTTCAGGAAGGAAAATAAGAGTGAGGCATTATGTGTTTTGGATCAATGGCCCCTAGATAGCATGTTTCAAGGAGAATTACAGTGGTCCCAGATTCCTGCAACTTTTTGTACACAAAAATCACTAAAATCATTAACTTGAAGTATCTGTTCTTTGTGACTAGCAGTAATCTTTTATGCTAGACTTCGGGCTTCCCTAGTAGCTCAGCGGTAAAGGAGACACAGGTTCAATTTCTAGGTGGGGAAGATCCCCCTGAAGGAGGGCATGGCAACCCTCTCCAGTATCCTAGAGAATCCCTATGGACAGAGGAGCCTGGCGGGCTACAGTCCCTAGGGTCGCAAAGAGTCAGGCACGACTGAAGCAACTTAGCATGCATACACATGCTAGGCTACATATTTTTCCTAGTTAAAAAAAAAGGATCTTAGGTATACAGAACATACATATTTGAAGCATTTTCCCAGAGCTATGCTCTGAAAGGCTGTGCCCCTAAAAGGCTCTCTCCCAGGCTATCATCCTCAGTGAGGTCCCCAAATAAAATTGAAACTCATAACTCTTAGGTTGTGTGTTTTCCTTTAGGTCAACACCTTTGTATGCATTTTCCCATTCAAAAAAAAAAAAGGTTTAAGAAAAATTATTTGAAAATGCAGACCTATGGGATAGAGGTGGGATGCTGAATCCATGCATCTGCTTTTATTCTTTCCTGAAACTCCACCAAAACAACAACAGGATTTTTAAAAGCATAAAGGAAGGACAAAAGAACAGAATAAAATTTCTAAATCAAGAAAGCAGATGGACAAGTGGTGAAGGATTTTGCAGACTGAAGAAAGCTAAATTCTAAACCAGCAATGGGGAAGCCAATGAGCAATCCTACTTGCAGTGTAGAATTCCCCAGGGCTCAGGGGTTAGCAGCACCAGGTATCTATGGGAAATGGAAGGGTCTGGTCTAAATTAAGGCAATTGTTTGAAATTCTGATTCCTGAAAAGCTAAGTTCCTGATCCCTTCCCCAACTTCCTGCTCCTCATGGCATCAGCAGACGTTTGGGGGTTTATTCCCTGGAGAGGGTACAGTCTTTGGACTGGGAAGATACAGTTCACAGTTGGGGATGGGAGTACCATACTGAAAGTATGGAAATTAACTGAACATAAGCAAATGAACGCTGGCATCTTCTTCCACTTTTATCCTTTTCTCATGTGAGTATAGAATCATGGTCCCAAGGACTCAAGCTTTCAGCAGGAATTAGAAGGTCCATTTATGGAAAGTCTTGAGTCCAAAATAATAATAATAATAATAAAGATCATAATATCTAAGTTTCCAAATGATACCTGCTCACATCATTCTACAGTAAAGCTTAGAGTCAGTAAGCTCCATCCACAAACTTAACCTTATAATCATCTTTTTGGTATTTACTCTTAAATGTGAGTAGGTAATGGGGCTTCCCTGGTGGCTCAGTGGTAAAGAATCCACCTGCCAAGCTGGAGATGCAAGCTCAATCCCTGGGTCAAGAAGATCCCCTGGATTAGGAAACGGCAACCCACTCCAGTATTCTTGTCTGGAAAATTAAATGGACAGAGAAGCCTGGCAGGCTACAGTCCATAGGGTCACAAAATCAGACATGACTGAGTGACTAAGAAATTGCTGGGCATTTAAGGACAATCACTAGTTTGGAAGACAGAAGACAAAACCAACAGAAAAAGTGACTCAGTAACAAACCATGCAGGTAAATAAAAGAAAATATTATAGCCATTCTGTACATAAAATGAGAATAAAACAAAATGAAAAGAGAGCATCTGAAACAAAAAGGAGCTCTTAAGAAGTAAAGACTTGAAAGCAGGAAAGAAAAACTAAATAGAAAGATAAAAATAAGGTGATCTCTCAAAAAACAGGGCAAAACGATGAGGAGCTGGAAAATAGAAAAAATATGAGCAGTTTACAGTAGTGGGTCAGGAGATTCTATTGTTATTGTTGTTTAGTCGCTCAGTTGTGTCTTACTCTTTTGGGACCTCATGGATTGCAGCCCGCCAGGCTCCTCTGTCCATGGGATTTCCCAGGCAACAATACTGGAGTGTACTGTCATTTCCTTCTCCAGGGGATCTTCCCAATCCAGGGATCGAACCTGTGTTTCCTGCACTGTAGGCAGAGTCTTGACCACTTGAGCCATTTGGGAACTTCTACAACCACATAAAAGGGGTCTGAGAAAGAGAAATAGCAAAAAAGGGGGCAATCAAAATCATCTGAATAATTCAAGACTTCTTCCAGAATTGAAGAATATGAGCTTCCGGATTAAAAGAACTACGCCAAACAGATGAGAGTGGATCCAGAGTAAGGCGTAGAACTATGAAATTGCACAAACTAAGGGACATAGAAAAGCTTTGCGAGAGAAAAATATTGGCCACGTGGAAAAAGCATCTGAATCCGAATGTCTTTGAATTTAAGCATTAACTCTGCAAGCTAGATAATAAGGGAATGATTTCTTCAGAATTGTGAGTGAAAATGTTTTCTGCCTGAGAATTCTTACCCAGCTAAACTAGGCATCAAGTCAGTCATGTCTGACTCTTGGCAACCCCATGGATGGTAGTCCTCAGGCCCCTCTGTCCATGGGATTTTCTAGGCAAGAGCACTGGAGTGGGTTGCCAGTGGGTGGGGAATAGTGTGAAGATATTTTATACATGCAAAGTTGCAGAAGAAGCCCTTTTCTCCCATACACCCTTTCTCAGAAAAGCTGCTGAAGGTTATACTTTACCAATATAAGGGTGATAACAAAAAAAGGGGGGGATAGCCAATTAAGGAAACAGGGGATCCAACACAAGATAAAAAAGAAAACTTCAGGATGATGATCAGGAAAGATCCCAGAAGCCAGCTGTGTACCAGAAGAGAGCATCCACGTTAGAAGGCTCTTCTAAGGTGACATTGATAGGATATCTGATAACTGAGGACACTGAGCGTGTACTGATAGGAGGTTGGGAGAACTTAGCATTGAATTGGTAATAAATACATAGAAATGTTATAAATGAAAAAGCCAGACACTTATTAACTATAGAATAAAAAAGTTGTACAGAACAGGAAAAGTAATCATAGAATTCTACATGGCTTAGCTGAGAGTAGTATTTCTCTAGTCATTGAAATGTGTACTTGAAATATTTAATCACAAATATGCTATGTGTGTATGGATACAATAAGAAAAATGAGAAGGTGGTGTGTATGTCTGTGTGTGTGTTGGCAAGTTGAAAGAGGGCTAAATGCTGATATTTTCTAGATGCTTCCTAGAAGTGAAAAATTAAGATATGAAATAAGCATGGTATTTGAGCTGTATTTTGACTTATATGTCAATATTAAGCTAAAAGAATTAAAGATGGTTGCGTCTCGTTAGAAATGGGGACTGCTGCTTTCATAGCTCTGTTGAACTCTGAATTGTGTACAATATAATATTGGTTAAAAACAATAAGTAAACATTAAAAGAAATTTTAAAAATTAAAGAATGAGATGTTAAAGGGACTTCCCTAGTGCCTCAGTGGTAAAGAATCTGCCTGCCAATGCAAAATAATGAGATGTTAGAAAAAATTCTCAGCTAACAAAAGTTATACTGCCTGTTTATTTTTTTTTATCCTCTCTCTTCTTTTTTAAAAAGTTAAACTCTTTTACTCTAAGATGTAATTCAGTTTATTTAAAGATCCTTCCTAAGATGGATTATGAGGTATGCCTTTACCATCAGACTCACTGAAAAGTAATTTTTGTGTGACTTTTCCTTTAATGTTGAAATATTTTTTAAATGCTACACTGCTGAAATTATTAGGATTTTATTTCATTTATCATAGAATTGAAATGCCCTTAAATGACAGCATTACAGACATTTTTCATTTTTAGGCACTGGGGACATTGGTTTGTCAGCCAGAGTCATCTACAAAACCATGGACGATACAAGAGCGGTGCTTGACAGCGAAGAGTACCCCAACAGTGAGGTTCAGAAAAGCCAAGTGCTGACTCTGGAAGAATGGCAGGAAAAGTGGGTGAATCACAAAATTGGATTTCATCAAGAACAAGGACATCAGTAAGAAATGCTTCTGTTTATATTAAATGCTAGTCTATAACAGAAATGCCCCATCAGAAACTGACTTTGGAAATAGAAATAGTAATATAGGTACACATTATTTTACTCATTTTTAAGATGCACAGGTTTAGTTTTTCACATCTGAGCATCTCTGGAGTCAGAATGCGTCTGTGGCATGTCATGGTTTAATTGGCAGTGATATTTCTTCCCATGGAGTATAAATCATGGTGCGACCTACAGTTGATGGTCTCTTCAATTGTTGAAATATGTCTTTCTTTAATCCCCTGTAACATCTATTTGTTGGTCATGTGTGTTTATACATACCCAGATGCTCAAGCTATATTAATTCTGCTATCTGTTTATATTGAAAAGTAGTGGTGTTGTGACTTTGCTTTCCAATAGCATATGTTCAAATGTTAAAGTACTGTCTACATGGTGGAAGAAGAGAAGTTGAGAGAAATGAATGTGAGCTAAACGCTGAGCAATGTAATAGTAGTAGAAGTCAGCTTTGAAGCAGCAGCAATAAATGGCCCATTGCCGAGTAAAGTGGTCATGACAGATGTTCCTTCGTCCAGGCAGCCACCCTGACTGCCCAGAGGACACTGTTATTATTATTACATTTGCACACCTAGTAATAGTTGGGATATCATTCCAGAACCATTGTATGAGTTATCTCTGTCTTGTAGCTGGCCCCAGAACAAACACACAGATGGTGGTGGTTTAGTCGCCCAGCGTGTCCGACTCTTGCGATCCCATGGACTGTGTAGCCGGTGTAGCCAGGCTCCTCTGTCCATGGGATTCTCCAGGCGAGAATCCTGGAGTGAGTTGTCATTCCTTCTGTATCACATAGGTATACATTTTGAAAACATATCAACTAACGAAAAATAAAATTTTGTTTTTAATTACTAATCAGGAAAATCCCAGATTTTGGGTCAGGTTAACCCCTCACTAGTTACATGACTGAGTGAGCTGCTTAATTTTCCTGTTTTCTTCATATGTAAATTGGAGATTTTAATAACCAAGGTTCTCTACTGAGTAAAAGTTGTTGGGAAATATTATGTGAGATAATGCATGAAAAGTACTTAGCATTGTATGATTGTAGTCCTTTCCTCTGTGCCTTGGGCTAATTAAAACATTTTTTTTTCTTCCCAGGCTATTAAAGAAGTATTTGGATACTTTTCTTAAAGGCGAGAAAGCCCTGAGGGTATTTTTCCCTCTTTGTGGAAAAGCAGTTGAGATGAAATGGTATGAGCAGATAAGCATGAACATACTTTCTTGTCTTGATGATAAATACTGTGCGTGAATATTTAATAGGATGTAAGTTGAAAAAGTTCCTTTCTCAGGAAATGTACAGGGATTCTCTATTTAGTAGACTATTACTGATGGGTTCATAGGGGTAATATTCTCAAACAGTTAAGACACTGCCGAAAAAGAGGGGTGAACTTGTCTTTCTGTATTGAGTTAAGAAAAAGAATTAGTTTAGAATCATTGAGATGGGAAAGGGGAAGATGGAACCAGTCTTCCATCTTAAATCTCCTTCACCTTTGTGCATGGTTTAGTTTTTGTGGGTGTTTTAGGAATGTGGCTAAGTTAATTTTAGATATTTTAAAGAGAGGTGGACAGAAAAATGAATTACAGCTTTTTGGCAAGAATGTGTATAGTTCACAGTTCAACTCAGCCCTTCTCTCCCTGAACCAGCATGTAGGAGTTTTTGTTTCCATGAATCATTGTTAATAAAACCAGTGATAAAAGAACATGTTCTTGTGAGTAATTCTCTGTGAAAAGAATTCACTTTAATTAACAAGCCACTCTCACTACAGGTTACCCTAAAGTCACAAACCTGACAATTGTTTCCTATACAGAATTTGTTGTAATGATTGATGGACAGACACTATCTTATGTGCCAAGACGTACTATTCATTTATAAGCGTGAACGCTGAGAACTTTGATGATCAAGAGGAAAGAAAAATAAAATATATGAAATAATGATTAGTAAGTGAAAAATACAGTAACTTAAAAATGCTCTGTTCCCTATGCAAATATAGGTGGCCAAACCACAGAATATGTATGCATTGGGAGTGGATTTCTGAGTGGGGACAGTGACATTTTTGCAGCCTGCCACCATTCCCGCAACTTGTAGCTGAGAGATTTTGTGAGTGGCTGCTGTGGCTTAAAGAGTCTAGGTGGCCACAAAATTGAGAACGTTACATCCTAACCAACTCACTGAATCAGACAAGACAATTACTTTGGAAACTACCTGCAAGAAAAGCATTAACTCTATGAACAGATTGTCTTACTGTCATAAGTGATAACAACCTAGTTCTAGGAGAAGCTTTGAGGCAAGATCAGAAAACAGTACAAGGAAACAGCCGATTCAATGTGATTGCTGAAGATTGCTTTAGACTTTAGGGTCTAAAGTCATTTGTAATAAGAATGCCAGAACTAAGCTACTGTAATTGTATGGGCTTTCTCGGTGGCTCAGTGGTAAAGAATCTGCCTGCCAATGCAGGAATCATAAAAGAGGACGGTTTGATCCCTGGGAGGGGAGGAAACCCTGGAGTAAGAAATGGCAACCCGCTCCAGGTTGCCTGGAGTGTTCCATGGACAGAGGAGCCTGGTGGGCTACAGTCCCTGGGGCTGCCGAGAGTTGGACATGACTATTATTGTATAAAAGTTGTTATATTAGAGGATTTTTCACTTACCTAATAAATTTGTGTTTTAAAGGTCTGTACAGATATCCAGTGTGAATAGATAATCTATTAGCTGAAACTCAAAAACAATAACATAGAGTGTTTAGGACATTTTCTTAGATTTTGGGTTTTCTTAGGGCAATGTATTACAGTATAATCCAGTCTGCACAAGTCTGCAGTAGGCTATGCTTCATTTTTCCACATGTAAAAATTTTCACTTTTTGACTTCCTTCACCCATTTCACCCATCACTCACCCCCAGGCTCTGGCAACTATCAGTCTGGCCTCTGTGTCTATAAGCTTGTTTTTGTTTTTGTTAGATTCCACATGTAAGCAAGATTATATGCTGTTTTGCACTGATTCATCTAACTTAGCATAATACCCTCAGAGCCCATCCATGTTATCATAAATGGCAAGAGTTCAATTATTTATGACTGAATAATATTCCACTGGGACAGTAAAGTTTTTTTAATGTGTTCCCCCACTCCCATCCCCATAAACTTCATGATTTTGTTGCATGATTTTGCATGGTGCAGTGATTTTTAAGAAGGTATGTATTGCATTATAGCATAAATGACTTAGGTGTTTATTTACTGTGGCATAAAAATCAATACTGTACCTGGGTATTTGTGCCACGAGTGTTGTTCTCTCTGAAGTCTAAGATCCCAGACTGAATTCTGTAACCATAATGCTAATCAGGAAAATACTAGCTATTTGCATCTGGTAATGAAATAAATTTCTGGATAAGGTTTAGTGTAAATAAGTGGAAATTTTAACTCTGTTACAGAAATGGATGCTAATGTTCTAGAGCGGTGTACTCCAGTACTTTATCTACCAGCCCCACGTGGCTGTTTAAACTGGATCATACAAGCCGTGTCTCAAGGGCCCTAGGCTATGTGGTTAGTGGCTGCTGGATTGAACAACACAGGTAGAGAGACTTCTCTCATCATTGAAAGTTTTAATGGACAGAGCTGATTTCGAGAAATTGAAAAGCATATCAAATTCATAGGATGCTATTAAATCAAAAACTCTTCCAATCCAGTCCATTGGTAGTAAATCAACATTTTAAGGTATAATTTTCCAGGCTTTTAAATTTGCCCCCAGGTCCTATAAACCCTTTCCTCAGAACTCCACATAGCATAGGGTTTGCGAATATATAGATTATATTATATAGAATATATAGAGAATATATAAATCTACTCTCTGTGGATCTATGTGTTCTGTGAAACCCTATGAGTCTAAATTCATGCAAATCTCTTAAAATTAAGGAAAATATATGCTCATTGGTGTATATCCTTTTATTTAGCATTGTACTCGAAAGAAAACTTTAAGTGTAATTATATGATTTTCTGCAGGTTTGCAGACCGAGGACATAGTGTAGTAGGCGTGGAAATCAGCGAACTTGGGATACGGGAATTTTTTATGGAGCAGAATCTTTCTTACTCAGAAGAACCAATTATGGAAATTCCTGGAGCCAAAATATTCAAGGTGTGTTTCAGTTTTGGCAAATGTTATTTCCATACCCCCCCAAAAAGGTTTTCCTCAGCATGAGTAAGTGAAGACACTATACATGTCAGCTGACCCCTCTTAATCATCAGATTCACTGGGACTTTACATAGCATAAGGAGCAGAAAAAGAAAAACCATAGCTGTTTTTGGTTTGCATTTGTTGGCTTTTTAATTTATCAACAAATGTTTCTGAGAATCTGTCTTGTGCCACACCCTGCATAAGACACTAAAGAGATGAAAACAGTCCCTGCCCTAAAGAATCGCTTAGCTTAGGAGGAAAGAGAAGAGGAGGAGACTGTTTGTCATACGGGAGCTCTCGGTGAAATGACTTGGGGTATTAAGCAAACCGAGGGGGAAGTTTCCTAACACAGCCTCTGGGGAGCTTCCTGAAGTGTGGTGACAGTTAGGGCTGGGACAGGCAGGGCATCAGGTCAGCCAGCTCAGATGCCCTGTGAGTCTGGTACCTCATTCTGCACCACAAGGTTTTAAGCCAGGTTTTCTTTTGCAACCAGCCACGGTGGCTCAGATGGTGAAGCATCTGCCTGCGATGCAGGAGACCCGGGTTCGATCCCTGGGTGGGGAAGATCCCCTGGAGAAGGAAATGGCAACCCACTCTAGTACCCTTGCTGGGAAAACCCCATGGACAGAGGAGCCTGGTAGGCTGCAGTCCCTGGGGCCGCCAAGAGTCGGACTAGACTGAGCGACTTCACTTTCACTTTCACCCTTGTAGCCTCAAGGGAAGTGAGTCTGAAGGGCGGTAGCCCCCTGGCAGAGAGACTAGATAGGAGGTTGTGAGCAGTGGTCCAGGAAAGAGAACTTGAAGGGCTGCACTAGGAGAGCGATGGGGTGCTTAGAGGAACAGATGGCTTAAAGCCATGTTTAAGGTGTCACACTGGGAAGTCTTTGGTGATTAACTGAGTGGGAATCCAGAGGGTGATGAGGTTACATTTCTAGCTCACATGACTGGTTGGGTGGCAGAGAATCAAGGAGAAACAAGTTAAAGAGCAGAGAAAATGAGCGTTGTTCTGGAGATGATCAGTTGAAAAGACGTGCGGTATGATAAGGGGGTACTGGCAACTGTCTCCGAAGCACGGGGCAGCGTCTGGGCTGGAAATGATAGATTTGAGAGTTGTCTTCCTCCTGTGACCAGAATGATCCAGTGAAACTGCTGCACTGGCTTGGAGTAATAATGTGGAAATAAACAGAATCCACCCGAATGAGAACAAGTAGAGACTGTTTGTTCAGAGGGAGTCAGCCAATTGCATTTGGCAGAGGCTCAAAGCCTGGCAGTGGGGTGGGAAAGCTTCCTGGTGAAAGATGTGAAGGCTTCAGGTGCTCTCGGCTAACAGCACCCCGGTGACTGCTTTGGAAGCATGTTTGAGTTGGAAGAGAGGGGGAGGACAGGTGGTGGTGTAAATCAGGGAGGATGGCGGTCAATTGACCACTGTCCTGCAGGGCTGTGGTCTGACTTCCTGGGCTGCTTGCTGCAGAGGCTATGTATCCAAGTTCTTTTATCAGACTTGAGTTGTTGGTACGTGCAGTCTGGCCACCGTGTGTTTGTACATTCAGTCTCTCGCAACGTACTCGCTTCTAAAGATTGAAATTAATCGCTCAGGTCAGTAGGAAGCTTGAGAGTACTTTATTTTACAGCTTCTTCCAAGTTCATTCTTAGATCATCTAGGAATCCCAGTTGCCTCGGTCCAGAGAGGCTAGTCCTCCTGGGGGCCATGGTTCTCAGCCCTGCTGGCACCTTTGAAATTGTCTGTGGATCTTTTAAGATTCCCAGTGCTCAGGCTAATTAAATCATAACCTCTCAAGGTGGGGCCTGGCATCAGGTCTGTGTAAACCTCCCCTGTGAGTCCCATCTGCAACCGGAGTTGACATTCATGGGCTGTTCTCCTGGCCTCTAGACCCCTCCTCCCTGTGTTTCTAGATAGGTCTGCAGAGACCTGCTCGCCTCTCATCGCAGCGTCTGTTGGCACCTCATTTCAGAATAAAATCCAGTATTTTCAGGTCCTTTAGTACCTCCTACCCCGCCCCTCCCCCAGCCCCAGGCTCCTCGATGCCCACCCCCGCGGTGTCAGCAGATGCATCTAGCCGGTTCCTCCGCCTTCCCCAAGCGAGGGCAGTGAAGTGAGGTCCCCGCTCTGTTCCCACAGTTCTGGGCACACAACCAGAAGAGCACAGCCCATCCTGTGCCGCGGTTGTTCTCTGTTCCCACGCCTCCCTGCCTCGCCAGGCCGTCCTCACCGGGGTCAGAGCCTGCATCAGCTTCACTGCAGTATCTAGAACCCGGGCTAGCCCTGTCCACTAGATGCTTGGGAAATAAATGCTCATCGGCCAGTGAAAGAAAGAGACAAACAGGGGAGTCAACAGAACTGCAGTTTTAAAATGTCTGCCTGAAAAATAAAATAAAATAAAATGTCTGCCTGGTGACTGAGCGATCTATGTGCTGGTCTTTAGGGAGTTAAGATGTCAAGATTCTGCTAAACGAAACCTTGCTAAAATTTAACAAGTTCCAGAAGTGAGTGAGTGCTAACTGATCTTCAGGGTTAACCAGTCTCTGATTTTCCTTTTTGAGTTGATCCCAAAGAATCCCATACTGGTTTTTAATTTTTTTAAGTACCATTAAAAATTATTTTCAGTTAAAAAATATTTGCGAAAGTTGCAAGGTGCAGGAAGTGAGAGGGAAAAAATGGAGAGGAACTCACCAAAATGATTGAAAATCACTGTTCAGATGGTGGCAGGCATGTTTTTTATTTATTATGTAAATTCTTTGTAATATGGTCCATATTTATTTTATAATTTAAAAAATAAACTTCTAAAAAATGATGTGTAAAGATGGTTTGCCATGAAAGTATATCCTTTATGTTTAATTACATATTCTCTCCCTACTACCTATGCTCTGTTTTGTCCCCTCTTTTTCTTTTTTTTTTCCTCTGACCATTCAGGTACCTCCTAATAAAGTGGATTTTTTTTTTACTTTTTCATTGCAGAGTTCTTCAGGGAACATTTCATTGTATTGCTGCAACCTTTTTGATCTTCCCAGGTAGGACTGATGTCTTCCTCTCCACTTTTAAAAATTTGAGTGTTTGCTGGACAGTGATGAGGTAGGTTAAGAATCTTTTTATCACTTCCATCCAATTCACAGTAGCATCCAAGAAACATTCATTTGAGTCTGGTTCTGCAGCTGTTTTTACTGGAGCCTACATGTCTGCACATGTGATATCTTTGTCCTTGGGTAACTTCTAAGCTCTGGAAAAATTATTTTGATCCTAGGAAGGTAGGGAAAAGGAGGGGAAGAAAATGTCTTCCACTTCACACCTGTGTCTATAACAGAAGTGCATTTCAGTCTCAGATGGACAGAGGGGAGATCTCTTCTGAGAGTTCCTGATACCTGTTCCAGGGGCTGAGAGCAGAGTTGTTGCAAACTCTTTCTTGTGCTTCCTTTGTGCTCCCAAGTCCAGGCTGCTGCCACCAGTGCCTAGAAGTAGGCGGAAATGGACAGCTACACACACACACAGACACACACTCGCGCACGCACACGCACACACACATCAGCACATCCCTAGAGATTCTGACGGAAAGCATCTATGAGATCCCACTTCCTTAACCACTGGTGAGGTTCCAGCACATACTGTGGGGAACCCTGTCTTGTTAAAGATTCGGTTATTCTTACAGAATTTTTTTTTTCTTTTCCTTTCTGGTAGAGCAAATATTGGCAAATTTGACAGGATTTGGGATAGAGGAGCCTTAGTTGCTGTTAATCCAGGTGATCGCAAACGGTTAGTGATTTGCTTTCTTTAATTATGTTGTTTCTCCCCCTCTCTCCTTTTTAGTCTTAATTCAGTATCTAATACTTTTTCTGGTTTCTAGAAGATTCATAGACTTTTACTAGTTTGGAATAGGTTGTTGTATTTGGAAGTAGAAGACCTGTATCCAACAGTATCTTGGTCTAAAAAGTATAGGATTTGGCCACGGGGACACAGGTGCAAGACTTGTGGCTCTGTCACTTCTAAGCTGTGTTACCTTAGTCAGAACATTCAGTTCCTCTAAGCCTCAGTTTACTCCTCTGTAAAACTGTAATTTTTCTACTCATACCACTCTCATCACTTCCACTGACCCTACCCGCTAATAATATTTGTTGGATTCTTTCCATGTGCCAGACTTTGTTGAAATACTTTATGTCAATCAACAAGTTCATCCACAAAGTAGCCCTGTGAGGTAGTAAGCTGTCATTAGTCCCGTTTTACAGATGAGGAAAGTAAGGTCAGAGAAGTTAAAAGTTGTATGTCCATAGAGTGGCAAGCAAGTGCATGACAGAATTGAGATTCAGGGACTTCCCCACTGGCCCAGGGATTAAGATTCTGCACTTCCACTGCAGGAGATCCCTAGTGTAGGAACTAAGATCCCACACACTTTGCAGTGCAGCCATAAGATAAAATAAAATAAATAAAAATAGTTAAAGCCACGCCCACGCCTCAGCCCCCTCCTATGGTTGTTGTGGGAATGGAAAGAAATGACATGTGCAGAAAGTGCTGTGTCAACCCTAAATGACAGTTTAAATATTAGCTGTTACTGTATTAGGGCTTTTGATCTGGATATTTTGAGTGGCCATTCGTCTGCACCTGCTCTTATTAGAAAATTAAACTATGAGAAGGCGTATTGAGTAAAATGTGATCTTTCCTGTGCACTTTCCAACCCAGATGTCATTCACAGACTTATCTGGGTGTGGCACATAAATATTGAATTATTTAGTTTTATGGGGGCAGACTCATAGCACATGGCAAAAAGGGTTGGGACTATACATCAGTGAAAAGAAATCTCAGATTTTAAAAGTGAATTGTTTGACGAATTCCGCTTGTTGCCACACCTCATCTTTTTTTAATTAGACAGTGCCGCATCCTCTTAATATGTATTTTTCCCTTTTCTTCCTGACACTGCGCCTCTCTTCTTCCTTGTCTGGGGCCCTTCCCTACCTCATATGCTTGGAAGTCTTCATTCTCTGAGGGACCATCCTTAGTGGGACTGTTCCTGCCTCCCTCCTGTGCTCCCTCCTCCAGTGATCGCTTCAGTTCTCCTGTTACTGGAAACTTCCGTTCCAGTGTTCAACAAATACGCATTAAGTTCCTACTGTGTTCAAAAACACACGATGCTGGGGAAATAACTGAACAAGTGCGCATTGGTATTGGCCCTCGTCATTTCTGTATTTCCGGTTCTGTTCTTTTCCAAAAGGTGCTGTGGAAAAACCCAAACAAACTTTTTGGCCAACCCCAAATAGATATAAAATGTTAACGCATAGTAAATGAAAGTGAAGGTGCTCAGTCATGTCTGACTCTTTGCGACCCCATGGACTGTAGCCTACCAGGCTCCTTCATCCATGGGATTCTCCAGACTTCAAGAATACTGGGGTGGGTGGCCATTTCCTTCTCCTAACGCATAGTAAAAGTTTAATAAATATGTGTTGAGTTGATAATTGAGAACAAATTAGACTCAAAGCCAGGGAAATACACTGTTTCCCAGCAGCCACTATTGCCTCCTCTGTCCTAGAAATGAAGGCCTTCCAAGTGGCCCCTGAACCCTTTAATTCACGGAAAGAAAGTCATGAGGCTCCTCCGGAGCTCTTAGAGAATCTGGGTCTAGTTTGGCCACAGACTCTGTATTCCTGGTGCCCTTCTGCTCTTCTCCCCTTTTGGCCACCTGTGTGTGTGTGAGTGTGTCTGTGGTCACAGCCCCAGGAACTCCTGAGAACATTTGGCCTTGGTTTCCGGGATAACTGTTTCTTTTGAGCCACCGGACAGATCCACGACTTTATCTTACATTTAAGGTACTTGGTGCTTTATCCCAGTCCTGCCCTCAGTACTGGGTGTCTTCCTGCTGAGATTACGTGTGGGCAAGAACTGCTGTGTTTTCTGCTGTGACTCTTAGGCCTTTTGTCTGACATCAATCATATCTCTCGTTTTTCTGAATTTTTGGAAACGAGTTGAGAGAGAAAGTCTGCATTCCGAGAAGAAGGATGCTGGTGAGCCCCAGGACACCCTGCCGAACCCGTCTGACTCATCACTTCACGGGGACAGCAAGTTCTTTCTTCCTAAACATGCGAATCAGAAAGTTAAGAAGCGAAGGTTTCGGCTCAGAAGTTTGCTTAGGGCTGGTTCTTTCACATGCAAGGAAGAGCGACCAGCTCAGACCAGCTCGCGTTTTAGAGGAGTTTATGTCGTGGATGCTGAAGGAAGAAGTCACTGACTCGAGGGCCTACTACATACTGGGCAGTGTTCTAAGCACTTTCTATGTGTGAGCTCACTGAATCCTCACAGCCGCCTCTGCGTTCATTGCTAGTCTTATCCCCATTTAACAGATGGGGAAACTGAGGCACAAGGGGGTAAAGACTTCGTCAAGCTTACACACAGCCAGTAGATGTAGGGATTGGACTTTGAGCTTGGGGACTTTGCGGAGCCCATTCTCCTAATCCCGACCCTGGACAGCCTCCTTGATTTCTCCCAGGGCTCCAGACAGGGCTGGCAACACATCTGGACCCGATGGAAACCTGGACGCCAAGTGCCAAAGCTCCTCCCCCAGAGCTCTGCAGCCTGTTGACCTCTGTCTGTCTGTCTCTCGCGGCCACTCACCTCCTCGTGTGCATCTGCTCTGTCCTGCCTCGGCACTCGACTTTCTCCACTGACACACCCCTGTTCACACGTATCTGACTCACAGTCCTTAGCTTTCTCAATTCCAGCCACCGCCCAGCACAGCAACTCCAGTGTTTAGTTCAAAGACCACAGTGAACCATCAACTCCTCTTTTTTTTTTCTTTTCTTTTCAACTTTTTATTTTATATTAGGGGCTTCCCTGGTGACTCAGTGGTAAAGAATCCACCTTCCGATGCAGGAGACACAGGTTGAGTCCATGGGTCAGGAAGAGCCCCTGGAGAAGGGAACGGCCAACCCATTCCAGTATTCTTGCCTGGAGAATTCCATGGACAGAGGAGCCTGGTAGGCAGCAGTCCGTGGGGTTACAAAGAGTCAGACACGACTTATCCACTAATAACAGCAAACAACATTTGATGCTGAAGTATAGCCCATTAACAATGTTATGATCGTTTCAGGTGAATAGCAACGGGACTCAGCCATCCATATACATGTATCCATTCTTCCCCAAACTCTGCTCCCATCCAGGCTGCCACATAACATTGACCAGAGTTCCCTGTGCTATTCGGTAGGACCTTGTTGGCCATCCATTTTAAATCCAGCAGTGCATCCATGTCCATCCCAAACTCCCTAACTATCCCTTCCTCCATCCTTCCCCTCTGCCCCCGGTAACCGTGAATTTATTCTCTTAAGACTGCGAGTCTGTTTCTGTTTTATAAATAAATTCATTTGTATCATTTCTTTTTAGATTCTGTATATAAGGGATGTCATAGGCTGTTTATCCTTCTCTGTCTAAGTGACTTCACTCAGTATTAAAATCTCTAGGTCCTTCTGTGAGCAACTCCCCTTTGGATCTCTTAACTCATTTTCCCAGTGGAGTCATCTGATGGGTCAAATTCATCATTCTGTCTCCTGGTTGGTCTGCTGGTGGGCCCTGTTAGCATCTGGTCCCCACCCTGAACCCATCAGACGTGGCTGGGAAGTGGTATTGCCTGCCACCCAGGACACCTGCTCCAAACCCAAAGGACAGTTGCGGTAGCACCCAGGGGTCATACCATGCTTGCAGAACTTTAATGTCATCGTCCCTTGAATTTTGACCTGTTTATCAGTCTCATGTGAGGGCGTGCTAAGTCACTTCAGTTGTATCTGACTCTTTGCGACCCTATGGACTGTAGCCCACCGAGCTCCTCTGCCCATGGGATTGTCCGGGCAAGAAGGCTGGAGTGGGTTGCCATGCCCTCCTTCGGAGGCTCTTCCTGGCCCAGGGATCGAAACTGCATCTCATGTCTCCTGCACTGGGAGATGGCTTCTTTACCAATAGCGTCACCTGGGAAGCCCGTTTATGAGTCTTCTTTCCAGCTAAAAGAGAGGAAAGGGGTTGTTCTGTGCCTCTTTATCTGAGCCCCTGGCGAGCACCCCGTCACCCAGAATATTTGTTAGACTGCAGCATCCCCGGCCTCACAGCAAACCCACTGACTCAGTCTTGGGATGACTGAAGCCCAGGCATCTTTTCTTCCCACAGATGCCCAGAACTGGCAGTGCTTCAGGACATATGTGTTCAAAGCTGACCAGCCTCCAGGGTCCACGTCACTCTGGAAGGAGCCTCTCCTCCACTTTATTTGACGTGTTCTGGTCTGAGGGGCTCCTTCCTGAACCCAGCTTCCTTTTCTTTTCTTTTTTTCTTTTTTTTTGGTCTGTTCCCTGAAGCATTTGGGTCTTAGTTCCCCTATCAGGGATTGATCCCATGACCCCTGCTTTAGAAGTGCAGAGTCTTAACCACCTGACTTCCAGGGAAGTCCCAAGAGCTCCTTTTGATTCCCATCTTCTCTATCTCCCAGCTTAGGCGGGTAACATCATTTGCTGAGCCCATTTCTGGCTGTTTAGAGTAAGACTCGACTTCATGTGATTTTTCGGAGAATTAAACTCAGTAACACATGAAAGGAAAACTGGCTTCCCTCCCTGCCTCTCGTCCTCCACAGGCCTTGACTTTGTAAGGAAATGTAACACATGCCTTTTTGTATTCTTTTCAGCTACTCAGAGGTGATGTTGTCCCTAACGAGACCTGGATTTCAGTACCTCTTGTCTGTTTTTTCTTATGATCCAACTAAACATGCAGGTAAAGTTTCCTTTTTATTCTTTTTCCGGTTGCCTTGTTTCCTGATTTCTATGATGGGGATAGCATTATTTTCTCCTACTTTATCTCATGGGAGGCATCCTGCTTATATACATGAAGCCTGTGTCAGCCGTGATGGGGGGATGGGATGCATTGGACTGATGCCAACAAATACACACAAATACATTTTCATAGGAAGATGGGGTGAGAGGTGCTTGTGGGAAGGTAGGAGGTGGGCAGGAAAATCTCTAAACTGTTGCTGTTTTTTAATTGCTGGAATTTTACAATTTATTGCATGTTAAAAATGTTCTTGTTCAGTCACTAAGTTGTGTACAACTCTCTGTGACCCCATGGACTGTAGCACGTGTTAAAAATAACTATATAGTGTAAAAGGGATGTTTTCTTCTGGATTCATTTCAATGTGTTTGAACATTAACGCTTGACCTTTTAAGTCCTGGCTTTTCAGGAAGACATGAAAACCAAGTGCATAGACTTTCAATTAGTAAACATTCCCTTTTTGATTTTCCGTGGAGCTTTTTAAAAAGTGCCTTGTTTTATACATATTAATGTTAGTTTTTTTTTCTGTTTGAAGAAGTCAGATCTTAAAAACTCATTAAAAGATGAGACCTAGTGTCCATAATTAAGTCTGGGAACAGTCAGATGGAAATAAAAACTAAGGGAGACAGACATCAGCCCCGCAAATGTGATTTAGCAACTTACTGACCAGAGAGATGTTAATACATCTTCCCTTTGTGTGTTTGTGTGTGCTCAGTCATGTCCAGCTCTTTGCAACCCCATGGACTGTAGCCCGCCTGGTTCCTCTGTCCATGGGATCTACCAGGCAAGAATACTGGAGCAGGTTTTTATTTCCTTCTCCAGGGGATCTTCCTGACCCAGGGATGGAACCTGTGTCTTTCATGTCTCCTGCACTGGCAGGCAGATTCTTTACCACTCTGCCACCAGAATATTATTGACTGAGACATTTCAGAATTCACTTACATAACAAATTGCCAGCCACAGGTGTTAGTTTCAGCAAAAATCCCCCAGTCAGTGCTGCTCCCTTCCTGAGCAGTAGGCCTAAGGAAGGGCCTGTGGGAAGGAGGCTCTGTCTGGGGTGGAGGCTCAGAATCCCTTCTAGAACGGGGCAGAAGCTGTTTCCTTTAAAGTGCCTGCAGCAAAATGGGCAGAGTGTGTAAAATGAGGGTCAGTGCATGGTCGAAAATCTTTACTCTGGAAGCAGGAAGTCCCAGGGGAATCTGTTCATGAACTCCACGCTCACGTCCCTGTTCCCAAGTCCCATGGCTGACTCAGTGTCTCATGTAAGCTGGAGGTGTGCATGTGCCATTACCAGTCGTAAGCTGGTCTTTGGTAGAAGATGTGCAAAATAAGCAGCAGAAAACGTGTCCTATCCTCACCTGTTTGGATAATCGAGTTGTATGTGGAATGAATATCCCTAGGTCATTGGGAATAAGCTGGGAAGTGGGCCCTGAAGGCTTGTTTCTCTTTAGAATTAGATCTATAGAACTTACTCTTCACCGTGTTTCTCTTTCACTTAGGTCCACCATTTTATGTTACAGATGGTGAAGTTAAAAATTTGTTTGGTAAGTTATGGATGTGTGCTATAATTAAGTAAAGTCAACTGTTTTCAGCTTTTAGCAAACTATTAATATCTCAAGTACTTAAAATTCCAAAGCCATTTTATTGGAGACTATTTTAATCTCCCCCAAAAGGGACCCATCTCTGTAATATGCCTTTTTAGCTAAATGGTAGATTTATGTTAAAGACACCTCAATTCTTCTAGAGAGATGGTATATTTATTTTAACTCTTAGGAGTTAAAAATGATAATAACCATTCAGAGTTGAGAAAATGTACTCTCAGTATTTTCCCATTTTCATTAAGAAAGGAAAAATCTTCAGTACACACTGTTTTTAAAATCACTTGATATGTTTTTGAAGAATTGATCATATTCATCATAAAATTTTAACTTGCCACTTTCTTTTTGTTTCAGGTTCAGTATGCAATATTCAATGTCTAGAGGAGGTTGATGTTTTTGAAGAACGACATAAAAGTTGGGGAATTGACCAGATTATTGAAAGGTTATATCTATTTACAGAAAAGTAAATGAGACCTAAATAGAAGCAAATAATATCAAAATGTTTTTGAGCAATTGAAAATTGTGCTAAGGCATGAAAATGGATGACTTTTGGGGAAAAAATTGTTCACAAATCATATTGTAGATCTTTGCTAAAAAATGCTTATAACTTTTTAGAAAAAGCACATATTTTGGAAAGGAGCGTATGGCTGAGAATAAAAGATTATACTTGCGTGTCTTACAGATTGTAAGAATTTTTTACAATCAACATGTATTATATAATTTAAAAAGAAATGCAATGTATATAACTTAAATATAATAGAAAAAATGGTATCTTTATGAAATTTAGAAACATTGAGGAGATGTAACACTTTTAATAGGGTTCAAGGTAAAAGCTAGCCATCTAAGACATTATAATAAAACATTAATTTTTACTATAAACCCTCAAATTGTACTAAATCCTAGCATTTCTTTTCACATTTTTCTTCTTATATAATTTTATATGCGACAGAATGAAGAAAAAAATTTTTTAACTAATGAAATTGACCACTCTATATGGAACAAAATATTTTTCCCACTGTAAAAATAAACTATATTTAGAAGTTTTTTTCCTGTGTTTGGCAGTTTTTTGTTTCTCTTAATTTAATCTTGCTTAAATGATAGTCTTGAGAAGTGAGGTGTACTTAGGGCTGGGTTCATGTCTGTTCATTATGACAGTTTAGATTCAGAACTTTTCAGTTTTCACTAACAGTCACGTTTTGTTAAATCAGACATTCCTCTCTTACTGCACTACCTAATACCTAAGTGATTTAGCTTATTTAGCTCATCTTAGTAGGCTTGTGTGTATTAGGAAAATTATTTAATGGTGTGTGTGTGAAAATTTGAGAAGCGTTGAAGTGTCCAGGTTCTCATTTCCAACCATACAGCTCCAGCTCATTTTTCTGTGGGTACTCACCTTCAAGCCTCTACCACTCACCCCTTGCCACCAATCCCTCACCGCTGGAGCCAGGCAGGTAGCGGGGACGAGTTTATGAAATTAGATAGGCGGGTGAGTGCTGGAAGTCAAGGTGCCCCGGGGGGAAAGCAGAGCTGGAGACGCCACCAGAGCCCAGATCGGGTCCAAGGAATCACGCAGGTGACAGGGGCCTGCCTATTACGGAGGTGCCCCGAGGCTGGCCCAAAACTCAAAACTCACCAACCCAGGAGGGGTTCAGGTTGGCAATGGTAGCAAGGTTTTGCTCCTGTGAGCTCACAAGCCCGAGCTAAGGCGGCTTCTGTCTTTGCTCCTTCTCGGTTCAAAGGCTGCATCTTTCCTCCTGGACTGAGATGCTTCTAGTCTATGCCACTTGCTCCCTTCCTGCCTCTCTGGTCGTTGTCAGGTATACTCTGCGATATAACTGTGTCCTTGGACTTGTTCTGGGATTCCTTCTCAACTGCATGTATGTGGCGTGCCTTCCCCTGCCTGCAAAACCAGCAGCCCGCCTGCCTGCACGCTGACTCCATCCCCAGACTCCACGGCCTGTCGCCCTGCGCCCCCTTTCTGCTCTCAGCGCCTGAGCTGGGCCTCCATTTCCCCTCCTCTTCTGCCTGGTACTTCGCATAGGAGTCAGCCACGACCACAAGACCCATTCTTCAAACCCTTTGCCCCCTTTGGGGGCTCCTTCTAGGTGGAAGCAGGAAGAGATGGTTGTGCTATTCCTGGACCCTCTAAGGGAGGAGTGTTGGAGGAAAGTACAGAGGAAATCCATGGAGACTTCACCACGGAGGAGGAAAGATTCTTCATAGCAAACTCAGAGTTAGACTCAGGGAATTTCTTTTATTAATCATCATGTGTGTATATGTGACAAGGATTATACTCTATAAGGTACTTGAGAAACCTTTCAATATGGACTTTAGAGATAAGCAACTGATTAGCATGATTCCTGGATAAATGCTATTTTCCTAACAATGCTATAAATACTAGAGAACCATCAAAGGATAGGTATAACATTGGGGTTTGCTGCCTGTATGTAGCATCCTTTTAAGTGTTCATTAATTCATCCATTTAAAAAACATATGTTGGAAGAAAAGCTATGATCAACCTAGACAACATGTTAAAAAGCAGAGACGTTACTTTGCTGACAAAGGTCAGTCTCGTCAAAGCTATGGTTTTTCCAGTAGTCATGTATGGGTGTGAGAGTTGGACCATAAAGAAGGCTGAGCACTGAAAAATTGATGCTTTTGAACTGTGGTGTTGGAGAAGACTCTTGAGAGTCTCTTGGACTGCAAGGAGATCCAACCAGTCAATTCTAAAGGAAATCAACCCTGAAAATTCATTGGAAGGACTGATGCTGAAGCTGAAGCTCCAATACTTTGGCCACCTGATGCGAAGAACTGACTCAATGGAAAAGACCCTGAAGCTGGGAAAGATTGAAGGCGGGAAGAGAAGGAGACGACAGAGGATGAGACGGTTGGATGGCATCACCAACTCAATGGCCATGAGTTTGAGCAAGCTCCAAGAGCTGGTGACAGACAGGGAAGCCAGGTGTGCTGCAGTCCATGGGGTCACAAAGAGTTGGACATGACTGAGAGATTGAACTGAGAACTTCCCTGGTGGTCCAGTGGTTAAGATTCCACATTTCCACTGCCGGGGGACAGAGGTTCCATCCCTGGTGGAGGAAGTTCCACATGCCACACATAGTGAGGCCAAAAAAAATAAAATTAAATTAAATAAAAAATAACGTGTTGGTCTCCCTCTGAGTACACGGGCAAGCACTAGGCACCGCTCTTTTGAACTTAGTTTCTCTCTTCAGAAAAGGAAAGAAGGGATGAAGATAACAATTTTAAGATTAGATAGAAAGGGAAATTGGACTCCATACACTTGGTAAAGTAGAAAAAGGATAAAGTAGAAAAATGACAAGTGGGGGTGGGGGGTTGGGTGGACAGGAACCTGGAGCAGTATCCCAGCTGTGAAAGACTGCAAACCTTCACGTTTTTAGGTCTGAAGCTTTGCGTCACGGAGAAGGCCTCAGCTCTGGATCAGATGCCACAAAGTTAGATTTCCATACTTTACCGATTAGAGTCCTGATAGCAAATGGTTGGGGTCGATTGTGTGTATATGTGCCGCAGTGCTTTTCCGGAACCACTGTGCTGTCTCCCGGGACAAGTGGGAGACCGATTATCGGGAACATTCTTGAAGAAGGCGGATTTCTCGCCCGTTTGTCTGGTGTAACTTGCTGAACACCTCCAACCTCTTGGCGCAGTACCGCCGGCTGCCACGCGAGGGCAGCACAGCATGAAGAAGAAGGCGGTCCTCCCCCAGCGGAGCTGCGGAGAGGATGGAGGCTCCGTCAGTCAGCAGTGAGTGCCACTGCTGGGGTGGTGGTCTTTGGATTCGTTCTAAAACAATGTGGGAGCAGAGACAACTTAAAGGCACGTCAAGCATCCACCAAACCCGTCTGGAAAGCATCTTGAGAAGGTAATACACCACGACTTGGTCTAGATCTCTAACTAGAGGTCTAACTGTTCCCCCGCAGCAATCACTCGTTGCATGGGGTTACTGAGCTGAAAAAGGATGTGCTGTAAGTTTTAAATACAGACTAGACTAGTGCTAATAAAACAGAGTGTAAAATATCTCATTAATAATTCTTACAGTGATTATATGTCATAAGGATAGCATTTTGAATATTTTGTATTAAATAAAATACACAGATGCAATTAAGCTCAGTTCACTAGCTTCTTTTTCCTTTTTAAAATGTGGCTACTAGGAAATTTAATATTATATACGTGACTCTCATCATATTCCTATTAGACAACCTTAATTCTAAAAACTTTCCACTTTTAGGTGGAATTTAGATTTCCTGAATGTTTTTTCTTAAGGATTACTGAAGAAAGCAATTTCTATTTGGAATGAAAATCTATTATAGTCTGAAATTATAATATTAAGTTGATTACTATGTCCCAATACACAGATAATCTTTGAATCTTGTAACACTCGGTAGGAAAATGTTCTTTCTTAGCTTACATTAAATCTTCCTCCAGGAGATTTAATGGGATAAAGATTTCCTGTTTTCTCAGAAGTCTAGCAAATAAGAGGGTGAATGATCATGGTAATTATCTCTAAATGAGGAGAAATGATCTGCTAAGTGATTTTGCCAAAGACAATGTTCATGCAGACATTGGGAGAATTCCTGAAAGTGACTGGTTGTAGTTCCACAGTGATTCCTGAGAGACTATGTTATCTCCTGTTTGAAGATTTTTTTAAACATATTGTATATTCTCTATGTTTTCCATATTGATTGAAGTTGAAAGAATTTAACCTGATGTCATTTGAGGGACTTTGTATCACTGGTTCTCAAACTTGGCTAAGCTTGAACAGATAAGCTTGAAGGGAACTTTAAAAAAATCCCAGCTGCCCAAGGACTTCCCTGGTGGTCTAGTGGCTAAGACTCCACACTCCAAATGCAGGGGGACTGGGTTCGATCCCTGGTGTGGGAACTAGATCCCACAAGCTACAACTAAGACCCGGTGCAACCAAATAAAAGTAAGTATTAAATAAAAATAAACATCCCAGCTGCCAGACTACACCCTGGACAAATTAACTGTTGGGGATGAGACCCAGGTATTTATCATGTGCTGGGATAGTTAAGAATGTGGGGTCTGAAAACTGCCTGTCTTCATATCCCAGTCTGGTCGCTTCCTAGCCCCATGACCCTGAGCAAGAAACTTAACCTCTGCAAACACTATGGCAGAAACAGGAAATAACACATCTTGTAGGACTGCCATGTGGTTTAAACAAGATAACCTATGCAAACCACTTAAAAGAGGGTGGGCATGGAGTAAGTTGATCATTAACTACCAACTTTTTAATTTCATATTCATTTCTCGGGAACGCATTTCCAGCCGTGGTCCTTGCCTCTAACACAAGTTCACCTGTGTATTTCCTGTATCATCCTATGACATTCCTTCATTCACACTGTCGTTGTTCAGTTGCTCAGTCATGTCCGACTCTTTGCCACCCCGTGGACTGCCGCACGCCAGGCTTCCCTGTCCTTCGCTACTATCTCCCTGAGTTTGCTCAAACTCATGTCCATTAAGTCGGTGATGCCATCCAACCACCTCATCCTCTGTTGCCCCCTTCTCCTCCTGTCTTCACTCTTTCCCAGCATCAGGGTCTTGTCCAGTGAGTCAGCTCTTTGCATCAGGTGGCCAAAGTATTGGAGCTGCAGCATCAGTCCTTCCAATGAATATTCAGGGATGATTTCCTTTAGGATTGACTGGTTTGATCTCCTTACTGTCCAAGGGACTCTCAAGAGTCTTCTCCAGCACCACAGTTCAGAAGCATCAGTTCTTCAACACTCAGCCTTCTTTATGGTCCAACTCTCACATCATACATGACTACTGGGAAAACCATAGCTTTGACTATTGGGACCTTTGTTGGCAAAATGATGTCTTATATAAATTCATTTTGCAAGTGTTCATTGAGCATCTGCTTTGCTATGAGAGGGCTTCCCTGGTGGCTCAGTAGTAAAGAATCCACCTACCAATGCAAGAGTCACAGGTTCGATCCCTGGATTGGGAAGATCCCTGGGAGAAGGAAATGGCCTGAGAAAACCCATGGACAGAGGAGCCTGGCAGGCTACAGTCCATGGGATCACAAAAGAGCTGGACATGACTTAGTGGCTAAACAACAAAAACAACAACTTACTATGAAAACTATAGAAGGTTCAAAAGAAAATACATGCACCTGCCTCATCCACTTGGATTTTAGTTTCCCTCGTGCATCTGTGCTTTCCCAATAGATCATAAGCATCATGAGCTCTGAGACTAGTTTTCACACTTGGTCAGCCCCAGCCCCTAGCATCCAGCGCTGCTGACAGGGAATTGGAGGGCACTTTGCTGGGTACCAGGGAGCCACCTTCTTGTCCTCAATAGGTTTCCTCAAGAGTGAAGGGAAGATGCTCCATCCAGGACTGGTGTGAAGATTACAGGTCTGACCACGTGCTCTGGATTGTTATTCAGTCACTCAGTCACATCCGACTCTTTGTGACCCCATGGACTGCAGCACGCCAGGCCTCCCTGTCCATCATCAAATCCCAGAGCCTACTCAAACTCATGTCCATTGAGTCGGTGATGCCATCCAGCCATCTCATCCTCTGCTGTCCCCTTCTCCTCCTACCCTCAATCTTTCCCAGCATCAGGGTCTTTTCCAATACATCAGTTCTTCACATCAGGTGGCCAAAGTATTGGGGTTCCAGCTTCAGCATCAGTCCTTCCAATGAATATTCAGGACTGATCTCCTTTAGGATGGACTGGTTGGATCTCCTTGCAGTCCAAGGGACTCTCAAGAGTCTTCTCCAACACCACAGTTCAAAAGCATCA